AATTTAATATTAATAAATAATTGTGCAAAAAAATTAAAAAATATGAATCTTAATCGTATATAGTATAATATTGATCTGAAATAAAACTAAACTTCAACTTATTTGATTTTTTTTAATCTTGCCTCTTTGCAGTACGGCTCAGGCGCCTTCGTTGACATTTCCTTTCATAAATGCTGCCAAGCAACAGCAGCAACAACTTCCTACAGCACAGCAGCAACAAGTACAGCAACAATTGCAACAGCAACAACAACCAACAATACAGTTAACGTTTCAGAATTTAAATGTGCTGCACAACGATCGCAAAATTCTTTCCGATGTGAGTGGATTAGTCAGGTAACAACAACAAAAGCAGAACAAACAAACAAACAAACAAACCTGTAAACAAACAACATAAATTGATAAGCTACTGAATCAGTGAGAAAACTAATAGCTCTCTTTATCCTCTCTCCATCTTTTTCGCTCTGCAGTCCTGGCGAGGTACTGGCTATCATGGGTCCTTCGGGCAGCGGCAAGACGACGCTGCTCGACTGCCTCAGCGGGCAGCGGCACTTTGATAGTGGCAGCGTCTACCTGAATCGCGAGCCCCTTTCCAAGCGTTGGCGTCGCAAAATTGGCTACGTGCTGCAGGAGGAGATCTTCTTCACGCAGCTAACGTTGCGCGAGACCGTCATGTATACGGCGATGCTGCGTCTACCGGAGAAGATGGCGCGTGTGGAGAAGCTGCGGCTGGTCGATCACATATTGGAGATGCTGGAACTCACCTGCTGTCAGCAGACCAAGTTTGGCGATTACCTCAATCGTGGTCTGTCGGGGGGCGAGAAGAAGCGTGCGAATATCGCATGCGAGCTCTTGACCAATCCGCTTCTAATGCTGCTTGATGTGAGTAAAAGTGAGAGTGGGAGATACGATATAAGAAACGATGCGATACGATTAAGGAAGAGATAATAGAGTACAGATATTGATATACTTGATGTAGATGAGTTGAAGAGCTACGATATACGATACGGTATTACTAATAATAAGTATATAAAGATGCTACGTGCAGAGAGCGATATGAGCTACGATATACTAGACACTGTACGACTGTAGATTTGAAAGTGAGCTACGATATACGATACTATATTGTGTGAACAGTTAGGGAAAGACGAAGAGATGAAAGATGATGCTTTGATGTTAGCTATTACCTAACGATATATGTATAAGAACTATTAGTAATACAATATACGGTAATGAGGGACAAGTTGCGATATAGCAAGGCCTATAGGCTTTAATAGCACATTCAATTAATGAAACTCTTCCCTCTTTTCTCCTTTGTTGCCATTTCAAGGAGCCCACCTCCGGGCTGGACAGCCACTCGGCCATATCGTTGATGAAGGTGCTGAAGCGGTACGCGCAGCTGGAGCAGAAGACGATTGTGATAAGCGTGCATCAGCCGTCGTCGCAGATGTTTCACATGTTCGACAAGCTGCTGCTGCTGCATCAAGGACGAACTGCGTACTTTGGCGAGGTGAACAATATCTACAGGCACTTCGAGAGCATTGGGGTGACCATCAAGGCGCACTACAATCCCGCAGACTTTGTGTGTAAGTAAGCGATTGACAGTAGAGATCTCTTTGGGCTAACTCAGCTCTTGCCTTGCAGTGGAGCAGCTGAAATCGCATCCGGATATACGTGAAAAGCTGTTTACAGCTGCCAGGGAGTCGCATGGCAACTACTTGAATCGCAACTGCATCAGCAATCCGGACAAGTCGAAGCAGCAGCAGGACACCATTCTGATCAACGACATCATCAACAACTACTACAATCAACGACACCATCAGCCTCATGACCTTCATCGTAATCATCACAATCGCAATCATCATCAGTATCACACTGCGAACGGGGGCTGCGAGGCCGACGAGGAGGCTGCTCAGCACTTGGTTTGGTCCGGCGCCGATTCGCAATCTAACTTCAGTTCCTGTGCCTCCAGCGACTGCCAATCTTACCGCGTGGGCAAAGGATCCGCTAACGACGACGACTGGCTCTCGTACCCAACACGTTTTTACACCCAATTCAGCGTCCTCTCGAGTCGCAATTTCAAGGAGGCCAAGCCGCGCATGTTGTCCAAGTTGAATTGGTTCCAAACAATCGGCTTGGCTCTGATGGCGGGCGCCATTTGGTTCCAGCTGCCGCGCACCGAGGAGTTCCTTCACGATCTGCAGGGCTGGATGTTCTTCTCGCAGACCTATTGGATGCTCTTTGCGCTCTTCGGCGCGCTCAATTCATGTGAGTGTTAGAGAAATGTCCTAGCTAAGTTCTTAATTAATTTGATTCAAGAATACTCCTATACCTGAATTACACTTTTATTTCGCATTTCATAATCGATATTATTGTTAATTTGTTTAGTTCCTTCGGAACGTGAGGTGATCAGCAAGGAGCGTCGCTCGGGCGCGTACCGGCTCTCTGCCTACTACTTGGCCAAAATGTGCGCGGAGCTGCCTTTGGTGATAACGCTGCCGACTGTCTACCTCATGATAAGCTATCCCATGCTGGGCTGCAGCAGGTAAGCTGGTGCGGCTGTTAATGCAATTGCAAATTAACTTATACTTGGTTTCCTCTGTACAGCTTGAAGCTCTTCTTTCTGATGCTCATCTTTTTGCTGTTGAATACGATTGTGGCGCAGAGCGTTGGCTTCTTCATTGGCGCCTGCTGCATGGACATGAATGTGAGCATCACGCTGAGCGCGCTCTACACGCTGGCCACACAGCTCTTCGGCGGCTATTTGTCGTCGCGCATTCCGGAAGGTCTCAGCTGGATACGTTACACGTCGATGATACACTATGCATACCAGAATATGCAGATTCTCGAGTTTCGCGAGGGACCGGCTATTAGGTAAGCGAAATCTCACTCAATTTCATTTGTTCAATCGTAATCGATTAACATATTTGAATGTCAATTGCAGCTGCGGATCGCCGAGCAGCTATGAGATATGCAAACAGCAGACAACCGAATTCATTCCATATGAGGAAATACTCAAAGCACAAAATTCAACATCTCCGCTCTGGCTGAATACGCTAATATTGATGATGTTCTTTCTGGTATTTCGGGGACTGGGCTATGCGGTATTACGGTATCTCCGCTGTCCACAAAAGTCGTGATATATATAGCTGACAACGAACCAGTGATACGTAATGATTAGTGTGTAGCCTTCTAAAAATCCTATAAACCTAAAAAACAAGAAGCCGAGAAAAAAACACTATCCACAAAATGTTTAACAAATTACAAACGTGCGCCAATTGTTGTGATTCAATATTAAAGCCACATTTATTATTAATTATTATCTACATTTAATTTATATACTTCTTTTATGTATATATACATATTTATGTATTTGGCAAACGGCAGGCGCTATACCCAAAATTTGTTGTTTGTTGCATTTTTGTAAACAGCAATTTTTGTTTTTGTTTTATGCATTTTTAATTGTTAGCCATTTACCTTAAATCTTATTATTATCCAATTATTATTATTATCATAGTTATTATAATTATTATGTTGCTGCTAAAMGGAAAAAATATTTGAGAATTTTGTTTTAATTTACGTTTTAAATCCAAAATCAATACAATTTAAAGAGCCCATATAATGTAATTCTATATAACTATGTATACATAATTATTATTGCATATCGCCCATATTGTACTATGTCTATATATACATTATCTATATTCTAGAAATTTTTGTAGATTTTTTGCAAATTTTTTCACTTGGGAAAAACACTGTGATTTAGTATGCTAGTTTTTTAATTAGTTTTAAGTTGGCTGCCGAGAAAACCATGTAAATCATGCAACCACACACACACAACAAAAAATTGTAATGTTGCATTACGTTTACATTAACTAATTATATGTAATTAAATCTATTTAAAATAACATACATGAAAAATATGCCGAAAAGTAACGTACGCATTTGAAATTATTTGAATGGCTAGTGGCGATAATTTGAGCAATCGAATTGACAGCTTTGAGCTGTCTTCAAGCAAACTTGTGTAATTGGATTTTAGTGTGCTTTTGTTGAGCACAGAGCATGCCTTATGGTCAGGCAGTTCGCGCAACTTAACGAGGAATTATTTACAAACCTCAATGTGACTTAAACAACTGTTATTGTATACATTTTCAAGACGCAGTTCAATTTTTTTGAATTCGTAGTAATCGATTAGCTTGTCATTTCTTCTGGGTCCAGTATAAATTGGTTATTCAGCCCTGGCAAAGCAGATGACTCAATGGCGTGCTTTTGAAAAAATTTTATAGGTGACATAGCTGTCAGCTTTTGTTGTGTGTATGTTTTGTAAGCATTTGTGTATGTGTGAGCAGAAGCAAGCATACTTTCAGTAGGCAACTTAACGAAGAATTATTTGGCGCGCCAGTTTGCTGTTGTTTAAATAATTTGTATTAACTGCGCTACACTCCAAGTCTATTTTATTTATATTAATAATCAGCTTAGTTGCGGCAGTTTGTGAGTACAACAGAGTATTTATACTGCAAAGTAAACTTTAGTTATATTTTATATTCTTAAGGGAATAAGAAAATTCTCATAGCGTGCAGCTTTTGTCGTGTCTTGTGCCTGTATGTTTTTTCGATAACGAAAAATGAATCGTTTTCAAACAAAAATAACGGTCTTTATTTCAAGTCAATCCTCGACCATGGATTTGCCTTTGGTTTCTTTCAAGAATAACGAAAAGCATACAAAGCAAACAGCTGTTATACACGCACAAGACCACATGGTAGCTGGCAGACCCCAGTGCTCCATGCACAGAGGGAAAATATTGAGCATCAGGAATACCAGCGAGCTGCAGACAACAATTGCTACAGACGTTGCCCGAGCGCGTATCTGAAAATAAACATTTACACAAATATAGCATTTAAATTGATAGAGTGGAACCCACCTTCATTGGGAACATTTCGACAATCAACACAAAAATGCAACTTATCAAACCAATGTTGCCCAGAAATATGTCAAGCGACATCAGGGCCACTGGCACCCAGCTCCATTCGCTCAGGTCGTAAATGCTGGCAAAGTGTGTGAAGAGGCCAAAGGCTGTTAGACTCATGGCCACGCCCGCTGATGAGACTTGCATCAGTATTTTGCGTCCACAGACGTCGCACAGGAGCGTGCTCATGTAGGCGCCCAAAATTTGAACTACTCCAATAATAATCGAGCTGGTATTTGGGTCCATGCTGCTGCCCGACTTTGCAAATATATCCGACATATAGTTGACCATTGTGAATAGGCCGCTGAACTGATTGGCAATGACTATTACCCCAGCCATGGCGTAGCCCTTGATGGCGGCAGGTGTTACTGATTAAATAACATTTATGTAAGTTATCAAGGAATAATTGAGTTACATTTTCTACTACTCACAAAAGTCCTTCAGGCTGACCTTGTCCGGCATATCATCCTCGTTGGTTAGCTTCATTTTTATATTCTCGAATTCCAGCGTAGCCAACGATTGCTTATCTAAGCTGTCGCTATCTTTAATGTTCTTATAGTATCTAAATGATTTTTCAGCTGCTGCAAACCTTTGCTCTCGTATGAGCTGCATCGGCGAGTCTCGAATGAACAGCAAAATGAGGGCGAAGTAGCTCAAGGGACAAAGGAGGACCACAAACGGTACTGAGTAGTACGCCAAATGTGTACCGAGTATATAGCCCAGAAGTATACCAATATTTACAGAGAGCATGACCATGGAGGCCAACGTCCCTCGAATGCTGTAAACACAGAGTTAAAGCATATTTCATTGGAATTCGACTCAGATTCCCTTTGCATGCCAACTTTCACAAAGATTTAAAGTTCTTGGAAATTTATTTTCATTTGTATGTGTTACATGCGAGAGTCCGCAATTGCACTGATTGCTGCGTAGTGAACGCACTCATGGAGTGAGGACCTAGGCTTTATTAACTATGTGAATAACTTTTCTTTTTACTAGATTTTTATACGAAAACTTTGAGAGTGTAGAGATTACAGTCTACTATCACAAATTCAGGGATAAAATCCAAAATATTCGAAATTGTGCATTCATCACTTTTATATATGTAAATTGGAGATACGTTTTAATTCTTCGATTATTATCGATAATATGCAAATGAGATCAGCTTTCAAAAATGTGATAAAATCTTACTACGGACGGACAGACGAGCCTGAATCGACATAGCTCAGAGGTTTACTCCATGCAGTCAGTGACGACTTTTTGTTAACCACATTCAATGGTATAGTGTGCCCACAACGTTTCTTCCACAAGTCTTACTTACTTGGCATCTGAAATTTCACTGAGGAATATGGGATGTATTATATAGATGCCTCCACCCGTAATGCCAGCCAGAAAACGGCCCACAATTAGAAACTCGACGCTCTGCGCAAAGTAGACCAAAAACCAAAGACACTGGGAAAACAGATAATTGCAGACGATTGCGAGGGTGGATTGAAGAATTCTCAGCAATTTTCGCTTACATACCGAGTGGGGCACAGCTATTAACAGCAAACAGAGCTTGCCTCCAATGCGATTAATTAAGAGTCCACATATTATATTGCCCGTCACTGAGCCCAGCCCCAAGGCCGAGCCGACCCAGGAAACATCATTGACATCCAGTGAAAATTGGAGCGGAGAGTCCGTCGACTGCAGTTTGCGCAATGTGGGCGAGAGCCAGCCGATGCCCATGCCATGTGATATGCATATTAGATTAACTGCAAAGTCATACGGATAAAGATCTCTCTGCGCAACTCTATAGATCCCCCGATATCACTCACTGAGCACCGTGGCGAGCAATTGATAGCGATTCCGTTGATTGAGCAAGCAATTAGACCGCTGAAACAATTGCGCAAACATCTCTCCCACTTTCCCGACGCTTCAGTCTGTGCCAGAGGAAAGTTAATTTGCTACTGAACTCGCGTCTATAAAGAAAATTCATTCACATACAAACCTTTGTGGATCGAGGCATCGTAAAGATAAAGAGAAAGAGAGAATAACAATCGTAATCAAGTGAGCTGCTATAAAAGTATTTATATATCGGATGAATTTGAATCACATTTGAATGGTGAATAATGATGCTCAATTGTCCATTTATTTTGACGGACTAGAGGGTGCTATGAAGCGTGATTCGATGAGAAGAAATATTCGTTAAGTAAACTATTGCAGGCTGATTTCAGGGAAGAATGAGTTCTATGAGCTAAATAATAATAATAATAAGGAGTAAGGGATAGATAGAGAGAGGGAGAAAGAGACAGAGGGTGAGTAAGCAAGCAGAGTCATCTTCGATGGGGGTCTTTTCTCCCTCTTTGCCTAACTGTATTATCCATAAGTCAACATCACGGAGTTATGTGACTTAAGTCAGCTTACTTTTAATTTATTTAGTTTTATTTACTAAAATATCTTAGTATCTTTGTTCTTATCTTTATCTTAGGTACTGAAGAAATTTAAAAAACAATTTTATTTTGGTTTTGACGTAGCTTCCGCCTTAATCCTCGAGCATAGACTTCCCCTTAGTTTCCTTCAGGAACATAACAAAGTAAACAAAACCAAATGCTGTGATGCCCGCACAAGACCACATCGTCACCGATATACCCCATTGATCCAAGCATATAGGTAAAATGCTGAGTGCCAAAAACACGAACATGCTGCAAACAACGATTGCAGTCGACGCTGCTTTAGAGCGTATCTGAAAAGCCAAGAGATAATGTAGCTATATATAACAAAAACAACATAAATGGGGGACTATCTCAGCAGTTCTGACCTTCAGCGGAAACATCTCAACAAGTGCGACAAAGAAGCAGCCAATGAGTCCAACATTTCCCAGAAAGATGTACGAGGACATGAACAGCAGTGGCACCCAGCTCCATTCACTCAGATCGTACCACTGTGCGTAGTGGCTGAATAGGCCAAACGAGGTCAGACTGACAGCCACGCCGGCTGAGGAGATGATCAGCAGGATTCTACGACCCCAGATGTCGCAGAGCAGCGTTGTTGTGTATGAGCCCAATATCTGAACTATGCCAATCACAATGGTACAAGTATCCGGATCCATAGTGCTGCCCGACAGGGCAAATATGTCCGACATATAGTTGATCATCGCAAAAAGTCCACTAAATTGATTCACAATAACTAGCACAATGGCTGAGGCATAAGCTCTGATGGCAGGTCGAGTTACTAAGGAAGATGTTTAGTGGAATATCTATGATTAAGGCTTGATGTTGTGAGTGACCCGATGACAAGCATCTGATGTAAGGGAAATACTTACGGAAGTCCTTGATGGTGACCCTATCCAAGTTTTTATCGCTCTGTGTCAATGCCTCCTTCATAGCCTCGAATTCGTGCATTTCGCTTATCTGGTTGTCTTCTCTAATGTTCTTATAGTATCTGAAGGATTGCTCAGCCTCCAAGTACCTGCCCTTACGAATCAGATGCATCGGAGACTCGCGTATGAAGACGAGATTCGAAATGAAGTAGCTAATAGGTAAAATGAGCACTATGAACGGAATTATGTGATAGGCCAGATGGGTTCCCAGTATATAGCCCACGAGTACTCCAACGTTTACAGAGAGCATTACCATAGACCCGAAAGTCCCTCGAATTCTATAAGAAAGCGGCAAAGATAAATTTGAGATTAAGATAAAGTCGCCAACATTTGTAAGCCATTTAAGTGCGTCGTAAATCTAGTCTTGTCTAATGTAATTAACAAATTCAAGGTCGTCCTAACATACCAAATGAGTTCCATTGAACCCTCTACCCTGTCGTGGTACTTATGACCCACGAAACACTCACTTGGCATCAGAGATTTCACTGAGGAATATCGGATGTACGATGTACATGCTACCACTAGAGATGCCAGCCAGGAAGCGTCCGATGAACAGATACTCCGCGCTCTTAGCAAAGTAGACAAGGATCCACAGGCACTAAATTGAACAATCTTTATACCCGGATACTATAATAAGGCCCGCACTGATTACTTACCGAGTGTGGGAAGGCTATGAAGAGCAGGCTGAGGCGACTGCCAASCCGAGAATGAACCAGTCCCATCAGGATGTTTCCCACCACGGCGCCTAGGCCCAGGGCGGAGCCCACCCAGGAGATTTCCGAGATGCTCAGCGAGAAGTCGAGGGGCGAATCAACGGACTGTATCTTACGTAATGTGGGCGACAGCCAGCCGACGCCAATGCCATGTGCAATGCATATCAGGTTTACTGGAAGCGGGCTTTACACTTGTCAAATATTAACTTAAGAGATTTATCTTTGCACTCACTGAACAGCGTGGACAGAAATTGATAGCGATTTCTGCGATTCAGCACACAAGTTGAGCTTTGCAATAGTTTTGCAAACATTTTCCAGATCAGACTTGGTCAAGGCGCATTTGAATACTGAATCGCGGGACTTGGTTCCCGTTGATTTTAATTGGCTCGGGTCTGTAGTATGTGGACTCGAGTTGCTATAAAGATTAAAGCTGTGCATGCAAATATATAAGCCAGACATATGGGATTCTATTACATATGAATGCCTTGTTATATATATACATTTATTTAACAAATACCTTTCTCTGGAAGTCTTTACAGACGTTTGGCACTGTTTGGTAGAAGAATACTCTCTAGAATATGTGAATAGAAAGCGTTATCTGGGCACATATTTCAGAGAGAAGTTGTTGTACTAAACAGCGCCAAACGTCTTTAAAAGTTTCAAGAGAAAGGTACTTGTCTTTCCTTTCTTTTGTCAAGCCTTCAGTAGGTGTGAATATATAATTTCATGTCAGTTTGTAGAGAAGTTCAGTTAGGTACTTTAATAACTCTAAAGAGTTGATTATGAAACTATGGAAGATATTACCAAATTCCCAAGATTACTTATATATAATTATATGTATATATATGTATATACATATATAATTGTAAAAAGAATATACAGTTTTAGCCATTTCACATTTTATTTTCATATTCTTATATTATTTATAGTCCACTCCCTATGTTTCGAAAATGCCTGAAGGTTTTTATTAATTATTACAAAAGTAATGTTAGCTCTAGCAACACACATATTTGTCTGCATCTTTACTAAGATATTGCCATTGCTTCAATCATTTCCATTCCGCTTTAGTCCTCCAGCATAGACTTGCCCATGGTTTCCTTCAGAGAGAACACAAAGTAAAAGAACCCAAGTGCAGAGATGGCCGCACAGGACCACATCGTCAGCGGTATACCCCATTGATCCATACAAACGGGAAAAACTTTGAGGCTGACAAAAAAGAAGATACCGCAGACGACAAGTGCAGCCGATGTTGCTTTGGTGCGTATCTGAAAAGCATTGAAATCGAGTGAAAGTTTTCCATTTTCAATGGATATTACATACCTTGAATGGAAATATCTCGACAATCACGACAAAGTAGCAGCCCATGAGTCCGATGTTGCCTAGATAGATATTCAGGGACATGAAGAGCAGTGGAGCCCAGCTCCATTGACTTAAGTCGTAAGACTGTGCGTAGTAGCTGAATAGACCAAAGGAGGTCAGACTGACAGCCACGCCGGCTGAGGAGACGATCAACAGGATTCTACGACCCCAGATGTCGCAGAGCAGCGTTGTCGTATACGTGCCCAAAATCTGAATAATCCCTATGACAATGGTGCAGGTATCTGGGTCCATAGTGCTGCCCGACAGAGCAAATATGTCCGCCATATAGCTGATCATGGCCAGAAGACCACTGCATTGACTCACAAAACTCAGCACAGCAGCCGAACCATAAGCTTTCAAGGCAGGTCGTGTTACTATCGAACGTTTGATATGAGATTTAAGAGTAAGGCGTCATATTGTTTAACTCACAGAAGTCCTTGATGGTGACCCTATTCAAGTTCTTGTCGCTCAGTGTCAGTGCCTCCTTCATAGCATCGAATTCTTGCATTTCGCTTATCTGGTTGTCTTCTCTAATGTTCTTATAGTATCTGAAGGATTGCTCAGCCTCTGAGTACTTGCCCTTGCGAATCAGATGCATCGGAGACTCGCGTATGAAGAAGAGATTCGAAATGAAGTAACTAATGGGTAATATGAGCACTACGAACGGAATTATGTGATAGGCCAGATGGGTTCCCAGTATGTAGCCCAGAAGTACTCCAACGTTTACAGAGAGGAAAACCATAGACCCGAAAGTCCCTCGAATTCTGAAAGAGATTAAGTGATTGAATTTGGTTTATTAATGATTCCCTTAGTTTAGTTACTTACTTAGAGTCCGATATTTCGCTTAGGAATATAGGGTGGACAACGTATAGGCTACCACTGGTAATGCCAGCCAGGAAGCGTCCAATGAACAGATACTCCGCGCTCTTAGCAAAGTAAACAAGGATCCACAGGCACTGGAAGATGCGGATAATTTGTTTGCATATAGATACTACAATATGAACTACACTGATTACTTACCGAGTGTGGGAAGGCTATGAAGAGCAGGCTGAGGCGACTGCCAAGCCGAGAATGAACCAGTCCCATCAGGATGTTTCCCACCACGGCGCCTAGGCCCAGGGCGGAGCCCACCCAGGAGATTTCCGAGATACTCAGCGAGAAGTCGAGGGGCGAATCAACGGACTGTATCTTACGTAATGTGGGCGACAGCCAGCCGACGCCAATGCCATGTGCAATGCATATCAGGTTTACTGGAAGCGGGCTTTACACTTGTCAAATATTAACTTAAGAGATTTATCTTTGCACTCACTGAACAGCGTGGACAGAAATTGATAGCGATTTCTGCGATTTAGCAAACAATTCGGGCTTTCAAGTAGTTTCAGTAACATTTTGAAGTAAAAATTTGATTTTCCAATTCAGGTGAGTTTTAGTTGCTGCACTGGTCGGGTGTTATTAAAATACTGAATAGTGAAACTTGCTTCTCATTGAGCTCAACAGGTTGCGGCTGCTGTATTTGGCCAAGAGCTGCAGCAAAGACTAGGCCTGCTGGACAGCTGTCGTGCAGCGGTTAGATTGGATTTGTTTTTGTTTTTGAATAGCTCAGCAAAAGCTACTCACCTCTACAAGGCTAAGCTGAATAAGCTGAACTTTGAAAAAGAGAGAGAGAGAGAGAGAGGGAGGAAATTTCCCTATTCGAAGATAAATTGAATGACAAACGAACTGGAAGAGTTCTCATTAGTAAGTGTCTTGAGTATTATTATTACGGCTTTACCTTATATTTAATTAACTTAGCTTAATAGCAACTCTTAGCCTAGGAGCTGCATTACTTGGTCCAGCCTAAAATGTAATATTAAATTCTATCAATGATCCAGCATTGATTTCCCTTTAGTCTCTTTGAGAAAGCACAGNGGTTTATTAATGATTCCCTTAGTTTAGTTACTTACTTAGAGTCCGATATTTCGCTTAGGAATATAGGGTGGACAACGTATAGGCTACCACTGGTAATGCCAGCCAGGAAGCGTCCAATGAACAGATACTCCGCGCTCTTAGCAAAGTAAACAAGGATCCACAGGCACTGGAAGATGCGGATAATTTGTTTGCATATAGATACTACAATATGAACTACACTGATTACTTACCGAGTGTGGGAAGGCTATGAAGAGCAGGCTGAGGCGACTGCCAAGCCGAGAATGAACCAGTCCCATCAGGATGTTTCCCACCACGGCGCCTAGGCCCAGGGCGGAGCCCACCCAGGAGATTTCCGAGATACTCAGCGAGAAGTCGAGGGGCGAATCAACGGACTGTATCTTACGTAATGTGGGCGACAGCCAGCCGACGCCAATGCCATGTGCAATGCATATCAGGTTTACTAGAAGTGGGAAATTGTTATCTCTACTAGGGAAAGGGATGTCGCTCTTTGCACTCACTTAAAAGCGTGGACAGAAATTGATAGCGATTTCTGCGATTTAGCAAACAATTCGGGCTTTCAAGTAGTTTCAGTAACATTTTGAAGTAAAAATTTGATTTTCCAATTCAGGTGAGTTTTAGTTGCTGCACTGGTCGGGTGTTATTAAAATACTGAATAGTGAAACTTGCTTCTCATTGAGCTCAACAGGTTGCGGCTGCTGTATTTGGCCAAGAGCTGCAGCAAAGACTAGGCCTGCTGGACAGCTGTCGTGCAGCGGTTAGATTGGATTTGTTTTTGTTTTTGAATAGCTCAGCAAAAGCTACTCACCTCTACAAGGCTAAGCTGAATAAGCTGAACTTTGAAAAAGAGAGAGAGAGAGAGAGAGGGAGGAAATTTCCCTATTCGAAGATAAATTGAATGACAAACGAACTGGAAGAGTTCTCATTAGTAAGTGTCTTGAGTATTATTATTACGGCTTTACCTTATATTTAATTAACTTAGCTTAATAGCAACTCTTAGCCTAGGAGCTGCATTACTTGGTCCAGCCTAAAATGTAATATTAAATTCTATCAATGATCCAGCATTGATTTCCCTTTAGTCTCTTTGAGAAAGCACAGAAAAAGTATAAAGCCAACAAATGCAACAAGGCTACAGCCCCACATGGTGATCGATATGCCCAAATATTCCATGCAGAGGGGAAAGATCTTCAGCGACAGAAAAACCGTGCTGCTCAACAAGATGATGCATCCAGAAACAGCCACCGAGCGAATCTTAAAATATGAAGAATAGTCTTACTTATCCGGGATCTCTGCTCCAGGACCTTTAATGTGGGCTCACCTTGGCTGGCATTAGTTCGACCAACACCACGAACAGAACTCCCACCAAACCAATATTACAAAGGAACACATCCAAGGATAACAGGAGAAGAGGCATCCAGCCAACAGAGGAGAGATCGTAGCGCTCTGCGAAGTAAGTGAAGGAGCCAAAGCCTGCCAGACAAATGCCACAGCCCAGACTGGAGATCAATAGCAATATCTTGCGGCCAAATCGATCGCATAATAAAGTCGTTGTATAGGTGCCCACGATCTGGATAACTCCGATGATGATAGTGCACATGCCTATGTCCAAGGTGGTGTGTGAGAGGGTAAAAACATCCGACATGTACGAAGCAAAGCAGAAGGTGCCCGTGAATTGATTCGTGAATATCAGCAAAATAGCCATAGAATAGGCTTTCAAGGCAGGTCGTGTCACTAAAAAAATAAGAGAAGTATGAATGAAGGAACTATTTTAGGCTAGGCTATCGGATACTTACGGAAGTCCTTGTAATTGAGGGCGTTCACTCTCAACGTCCTCCCCTTGGTAAGTTTAAGTTTGATTTCCTCGAACTCCAGCATGGAGCTTTTGTCGTCATCCGTGATATTTTTATAGTATCGAAATGACCTTTCCGCAGCTCCAAACTTGCCCTTGTTGATCAAATGAAATGGCGTTTCAGGGAGAAATAGATTGCTAATGAAATAGCAAACGGGCAGGGGTAGGACGAAAAAGGGGGCCATATAGTAGTCAACATTTGTAGATAAGATATAGCCCGTTAGAATGCCCATGTTAACAGAGAGCATGACCATAGAGGAAAGGCGGCCGCGAATCCTAAGTATATTTAAATATGTTTAGATATATAGAGAAAGAGCGAGCGAGAGAGTAGGGGCCTTACTTGGCATCTGATATTTCGCTAATGAATATGGGGAGAACTATATAACCGGCTCCACCCGTGACGCCGGCCAAAAGACGAGCGAGATACAAATACTCCACGCTCTGAGCGAAGTACGACAACAGCCAGAAACACTAAAGGAAAGTTGAGTCACTTAATGCTAACTATGTAAGGACTACTTAGTCGACTACTCACTACATACGGTGCCGTTAGAGCAAGTATAACAGGCTTTCGCCCTATACGATCCTGTAGTAGTCCTGCTAACAAGTTGCCAACGACGCTACCAATGCCCAACAGAGAGCCTATCCAGGATACCTCCTCCACCAGCACCACGAAGCTGAGAGGTGAATCGGGAGTCTGCAAGGCTCTCATCACAGGCGAGAGCCAACCGATGCCTATGCCATGAGCAAAAGTCGATATGTTCACTGGAGAATCGAAGAACAAATTGAAAGTCCTCCCAGGGATCAAGCAGTCCTTGTGGGCCTAGCTCACCTATAAACGTGGCCAAGAACTGATGACGGTTTCTGCGGCTCAGCAGACTCTCCCCAAGCTCAAGTCCCGTTGTGAACTTCATTGCGATCTAACCAGTTGCAGCTCATGTCTTTGACTGAGTGCTAGAGGACTTTTGAATCGCCTAATAAAGAGTCTATCGTCCAGATTAGAGAGATACGTCTATGACGCTTACACAACTTCAGAGAAAGATTAGATAGGAGATTGTATTTAAAGCTCTACCAAATGTTGTGTATGGATGTTAAGTAAAAATTAATTTATTATGATGTCAACATATAAATATATACAAGTCTGTCCTCCTTGACTTTAGTCTCGGACAAACAAAAGACGAGCCTGAAAGCAGCTCATGCAATTGTGCCAGAAACATAGATATGACTGGGGAACGTATCTGAGAAGAATCTAAGTCCGGTAAAAAGAAAAAGAGGTCAGTCCTGTATATGAAATAAAGCAGGTCAGGCAATCAGAGACTCTAAAGTTTAAACTAACGATTGAATAGAGAAACAGAGTCTGTGAAAAAATAGGATCCTCAACATGTTTTCCCAAAATACTAGTTAAGTGGATTATAATAACTCAATTCCTATCGCCAAAAGCTTTGACAAATATATTTCTGTTTTTAAGCTTAGATAAATATATTGTGAAATACCTCACAAAATGAAAACAACATTTCGCATCATTGAAATAATTTCTGTAATATGATTGCAAAATATAATCTGGACAATAAAATCGTAGTCCCAAGTACATAAAACTCGCAACAGAGTTGCTAGTTCATTTCATGATGCAAATATTTGCTGAGTCTGAGGGAATTTCATCAGGTAAATAAAGCGCGACAGTGCCTCTATTTGCGTTGTATTTGAAACGGCGAATGTTAAGGAAGGTTAGTTCGTGTATACGACTCAACCGTTGTAGAATGACTATCGTAGTATCTTGTCTAACTTATAATAAAAACTTACCGCAATACCGTATTCACCTAAAAGTCGACTTTAAGATATAGATTAGGGTTCAAATATGGTCCATCGCATAATTTTCAGATAATATATATCATAACACATTTTCTTATCCACGATCTATCAACTAAAGAATTGATAATTAGTTTATTTATGTTATAGTTCAGTAAAAACTAATTTATTTCTTATACATAAATATTCAGAGTCTAATCCTGAATCATTGACTTGCCTTTGGTCTCTGGCAGGAACAACAAGAAGTAAACAAATGTTAGAAGACTGGAAGCTGCCGAGAACCACATGGTTATCGATATACCAAAATAATGGAGGAGCAGCGGGAACAATTTCAATGTGCCAAAAACCAAAACGCTGAGGAAAACCACAGACATGGACGTGGCCAGGGAACGTATCTGAAAATAAAGGAAAATATTTGAAATAGTTTCTCAACTGTATGGGAAAAAATATATAGTCTACAGAAAGCTTATCAATTCTAATTCGAATTGTTTTTCTCTTTTTTATAGTCATATTAATTGGAATGAATCTTACCTTAGCTGGAAAGAGTTCCACGAGCACTACGAAGAATAGTCCAATGAGCCCAATGTTGCCCAAGTAGATTATAATTATCATCAGCACTAACGGCACCCAATTGAGATAGTCCAGATCGTAGAACTGGCCAAAGTATGTGAAGCAGCCAAAGACGATGCAGCCCAGAGCCACGCCCAATGTCGAGATCAGCATGAGGATGCGACGTCCGATAATGTCTACGAAGATGGTCGACGTATAAACGCCAACGATTTGCACTACGCCAATGATAATGGTGCAGATGTTGACATCCAGGATGGAGCCCGATGCGTCGAATATGGTGGACATATAGTTGATGAAGCTAAATATGCCGCTGAATTGATAGCCCATGGAGAGAACGATAGATGCTGCGAAGGCTTTCAGGGCGGGCTTAGTAACTAATATATATAAAATATATGCAATAATGAAGCAAAAATATATATTATCGATGAGCAACTCTTACTCAAGTCCCTATAGGTTAGAGCAGTCTGATTCTGTGCCTGCTGCACATCTATGGCCAAGCGCAGCTCGTCGAAGCTCGCCTTGGAGACCTGCTCCATGCCTCCTTTCTGGTTTTGATAGTATCTAAAGGAGGTTTCAGCTGCATTCAGCTGACTGCGCCTCAGCAGATAGGGTGCCGTCTCAGGCAGGAAGAGATTGGCTGTGAAGTAGGCGATGGGCAAGATGATGGCGAGGAATGGCACGATGTGATAGGCCAGGTAGGTGCTGAGTATATAGCCAACGAGTACGCCCAGGTTGACTGATAGCATGACCATGGAAGTCAAAGAACCTCGAATGCTGCAAGGTACACAGAATATTTGTATTTATAGATATGAACACAGAAAGCTGAAGATATAGATAGAGAAGATATAAATACATATAAAGTGATTTAGATAAGCCTCCTCACCTGCTGTCGGCCACCTCACTGATGTAGATGGGCACTACCAAATAGCCCGCGCCTCCAGTGAAGCCACAGAGAAAGCGGGCCACGTACAAGTAGTACACATTCGAGGCACAGTAGATGAGAATCCAGAGGCACTTAAAGCACAAGTTGCACGACGTTGTACGAAGACGTTCAGACTCGATAGGCAGGACTTACCGCATAGGGTCCTGCCAGCAGGTAGATGCAAAACTTTCTGCCCATTCGCTCCAGCAGAAGGGCTATAGTTAGGTTGCCCAGGAGGCTGCCCAAGCCCAGCATGGAGCCCAGCCAGGAAATCTCTGCGATGCCCACTTGGAAGTCGAGGGGCGTGTCGGGTGTCTGGATCTTGCTCAAGGTAGGCGACAGCCAGCCAACGCCCACGCCATGGCCAAACGTTATGATGTTGACTAACCGAATCTCGAGTTAAAGCTCAGTCTTCCGATGTCTACCTGTGCCACGACTTACCTATGATGGTGGCCAGCAGTTGGTAGCGGGTCCTCGCATTCAGCAGGGAATACTGCCTTAGCTTCGTCATTGTAATTGAGGATTGGAGACGTCTTAACAGTTGCACCGCCCGCCGAATAATGCGACTTCGGGCATTTGTAGCCTCTGAGATGTAGAAGAGCTTTATTGATATTTCGCTGATTGTCAAGCTTTTATTATTATTTGATTATCAAGCTTTTACCGTGTGGACACAGTCTATTGCACGTCTATTGCCAGCTATCATCAGAGTTTTCATATTAGAAATAGGTGTGCTAAGGTAATACTTAACGGATTAGATGAGGAACGAATAAAGATAAGAATTCTGGGCGAGCGTCAATTGTATAGGGAAAGTCACGAAAGTCGTGTATGATAATGAATACATTACCTGGCTCTCTTTTCCAGGTGTTACAGGCGTGCATAAAAAGGAGGCTCGCCTCTCTGCGGCAATATCGATCGGAGGTGGGCCATTCCAATGATGAGCATGGGTAGAACGATATATCTACCTCACCCTGTAATGCGTGTCAGGATGCCTAAAGCACTAACAAGCAGTTGAATGAACAGCAGGAATATCTTTCCAGGATATACTCTATTTCTACGAGTAGAACGACAGTTTAACAGTCCCAGATGATTAAGTAATGGCTAATGATCGTTAATTTAGCAAGGAATGATAATCATTGTCCGAACGACATATAATAAGTGAAGGCGTGTCTGTTGCCATAAGGCTGTTTGGAGCAAATTAATTAGTGTCTAACGAGATAAGCTACAAATGATCCGTTGAAAAACGTATATAAGTAGACCGCATATGCGCAGCTCGTATATATGAAGAATACAGAGTATAATCGGCATTGGGCATCAGACATGCTGATAAGTATACAATTATTTGAGTCCATGCATCTATCTTCTCTATGTCTCTTCTCTCAGTCAATATCCTTCTTTATTTTTCAATCGTTGTCCGTACGGTAGCTGTTGAGCGCTTCTCTATGACTCACCTGTCCTCTGCCAGCTCCGCCGTGTAGAGGGGAATCACTCCGAAGCAGCCGCCTCCTGCCAATCCACCCAAAAAGCGAGCTGCTATCAGATGAGTAGGATTCCGTGCATAAGGGATGCCAATCCAGCCCAGCTGCAACAGAAACACATGATGTAGCCAAGTCCTGAACTCTGATCAATGCATTTCATACCAGCGAGGGCACTGCCACCCACAGCATTGAGCTCCTGCGACCGATTTTGTCGGCCAGCCATACGAAGAATATATTACAACAATTACCAACGCCAAGGCAGAAGGCCGATGCCACTTTGCCTGATCATGCTCTGTAAGAGGACCAGTGTCCAAAGGACTCGTGCTGATGTTTAGCTCCAGAAAAATGGACGAAGTCCATCCGAGATATGCCCCATTGAAAATGGTCGCAATATTTACTAAAATTCGTAAATAGAATAGAAACATCTTGAACTCAACTAAAATTAGGATATGGTATAAGATTTTATTATATACATATTTTTATATATAAGGAATAAATGCTGCTATAAATAATATTTATAGTAATATGTTACTAAATAATATATTTCGCCTGAATTGTTACCCCATATAATTTGAAGTTTGCTTAGTGCAGATATTATTTATTTATTTTTCATTTTTGTTTTCCTTTTATTAAGGTAAGTTAAATTTTAAAGCCTTCTTTTAATCTCTCCTGTTTGTCAGGATTTTTATTTTATTTTTATTTTTTTAGGCTTTATGACTGACTTTTACAAATTCATTTTCTTGACTTCACTGAAACTATTCATAAACCAAATATTCCAGCTAGATATTGATGTTTCACACTGCCCCTTTCGTCCATGGTTGTTTTTTGTTTTTTTTTTCTTTCTTATAGAATTATGGCAAGTCATGCGTTCATTATCCTTTTAGCAGGTGGGTTTTATTATCAGGGTGCCAGTGGCAATGCTCGTGGTGAACTAACCGAGCGCTGTTGCCGCATGATTTCTTTTATAGATGTCACAGAATGAGTAGAGGCTGTGAAGCACATTTCAACTCTAACGCTCTCAGCTCTCAGCCTCAACTAGAATTACGAAAATGCACAGCAGCAAACACAAGCAAGAAAGAGACTGCTCGACTACGAAATCCCCTGAAAGCTTCGTGGTGCTGGAGGCAAAGGGCTGAATTAGGAGCCGGTATCCAAAATTTGACAAGCCGAAATTGTATAAAATACAAATTAATCCATACTTAATATATAGCTCTAAAGATGTAGGAAATTTAATCTCTCAGCTGATTTTGAAAGGATTTTTATCGATAACAAAAGAGGAGAAAAGTTATCGATTTATTTAAACAAACTCGATCTGTTCGTGAGGACGAACGGACTGCTCTCATTAATACTGGCTGTTACACACATGTCAACAAAACCATTATTGCTTGCTTTCCCATTAATGGGGTCAGGGTATAAGTACAACAACAACAAATATTATAATTGTATACAGTCCCGACTGTCGATACGCTCTGTTTTCTCAACTACTGTCATTATACTTTAAATCACTTTCTACTCTATTTATCTGATTGGATTATGGGAACTGGCTGGTTCCGAGGGCTAGCTGGTGGAGAGTTTTGCATTGATTCTAATAAATATAATATGAGAAGCTGCCCAACAAATGCGAGTAGAGTCATAAACTATCTAATATTTTAAGTATATGCATATCAGTTTCCAAGTGAAGTAAATTGGCAGACTGTAAAGCTAACTGGAGAGTCATACATAGGCACAGTGAGAATAAATCAGTAAGAGAATTATTATTTTGTTTTCAGCAAACATAACTGAGCTTACTTATATCTATATTTGTTTTTCTCTTTGTATTATATCTTATTATTATATATTATTCCCGCTGTGATATGCGCTTGAAATAGCAAATAACCTACATGGGGGAGCCTCATTGTCATACAACGGTATCGGCAGGCAGCCCAGTCGACTGTATTAGCTGCTGTGCTTTACATTGATGCCCTCTGGAAAGTCGAAACGCTGTCGTCGCCCATGCCAACGACCAAATATCCCTGATGATTACGTTATGGGTAATGATCATTAATTTAGCAAGAAATGATAATCATCATCTGGCCCATCTCCATACCATGTGCAACTACATATAACAGAAGAAGGCGTGCCTGTCTGCTCCGATAAGGCTTTTGAGGCAAAGTAATTTATTGGTGTGGGTGTCTAACGAGATATAAGCTTCGCATGATCCCTTAGAAAATTCCACAGCAAAATAATCTCTCTCTCTCTCTCTCTCTCTCTCTCTCTCTCTCTCTCTCTCTCTCATAGTTTGTCTGCAAACTTTGCCTCCCTTAGTCTCTCAGTCTCTTTCTCAATCACTTAAGTCGCTTATTCTATCCTTATCTGTCTATATCTCTTTACCACTGTCAAGCAAGTTCATTCATCTCTATTCCACCTGCACTCTATAGAACACGTGAGGCTGTGTTCTGATTGTACAGATAGGATCTCCAGAATGAATTTTGTAATCTAATCAAAGAGAGCGCTTATAAGTCGCAGATAGACACAAATACAGAAGGTAAGTTCAAGGTTAAGCTGTAAGCCAACGGGCAGACAGTTAGCCAGATTGTTACGCCCGACTAGACTTACGACAAAGACGTAACTTGTCTGGCATCAGTGGAAGGTAAACTATAACAAGTGCACTTGATCTTGTAACAGGCTTATAATATTTGATATTGTTAGACAAGTATAAATAAAACAATTCACAGCTAACTATAAATTCGCCAAAATGACTTCAATTGTCTTGCCCTTCGTCTCGGGCACAAAGATGGCAATGAACAAAGCCCCGGCGAGGGTGCAGCTGGCGAAGAAGAGCACCGTCCCATGCATGCCCCACGCAGCGTTGAGCAGGGGAATGAGCTATACGAATAGAATAAGTGGCTTAATGTCGTTTCGGATACACTCAAATATTGCGGATCTACCTTAATGGCCAGCATGGAGAGCAGCCATAAAATGGACATGAGCACCATAATGGCGGTGCTGCGTATCTTCGGGGGCAATATCTCCGAGATGACCAGAAAAGGCAGCGTCAACAGGCCCAACGCGGCGATGAACAGCATGAATGAGAACGCAGCAACGGGCACCCAGTCGAAGCCGGACGTGTCATAGTGGAGCACCTTCAGGTAGCTGTGACTGGCCATGATCAGCTGACTCAGACAAATGCCAACCGCGGAGACGAGCAGCAGGACCTTGCGACCTGCTCGCTCCACCAGCAGAGTGGACACATAGGAGCCCACCAGCTGAATGACGCCCACAATGATGGCGGAGACAGTGGGCGGCAGACTGGAGCCGGATTTCTCGAATATCATTGCCGTATAGTTGAGCAAGGCAAAGCAGCCACAGCCCTGATTACACATCAACACGCCCAGCCCAATGGCCAAGGCCTTACGCGTCTTTCGATCCGCTGGGAATGAAAGAGAGAGAAAGAGACAGAGAAAGAGAATAAGAATTTATTTTAATTGAAAATTGAAGGGTAGGAAGTAAAGGTGAAGGATGCTGCTGCTACTCATGAGAGTAAGCTGGATTCGAGAAATGTTGAGGAAAACCTTACCAAAGTCCGCCCAGGTCACGGCACTGTCGTCAATATCCACATCGTCTGCCTTCTCGGGTGCGCGCAGCTTGTGCAGCTCCAGCTGCAGCTGCTCGCTCAGGTCTTTAGAGGGACGAGTGCGTATATTGCGATAGTAGCGCAAGGCGTCCTCTGCCTCTGACAACTTGTGACGCTGCGCCAAATGCTGCGGAGTCTCAGGCATGAACCAGAAGCAGCCCACGTAGACTATTGTCAGTGCAGAGGCAATCCACGCGACTGTCGCATAGTTGAAGTAGTAGCCCAAGATGAAGGCGAGCAGCACGCCAAAGTTACAAGTGAGCACGAGCAGAGTGCCCAGGATGCCTCTCACGCTGGATGGCAATGTACAGATTAGTGACGGTAGCTGTTGAGCGCTTCTCCATGACTCACCTGTCCTCTGCCAGTTCCGCCGTGTAGAGGGGAATCACTCCGAAGCAGCCGCCTCCTGCCAATCCACCCAAAAAGCGAGCTGCTATCAGATGAGTGGGATTCCGTGCATAAGGGATGCCAATCCAGCCCAGCTGCAACAGAAACACAAAAGTTAGCCAAGTCGAACATTCGGATAAAACTGTTTCATACCAGCGAGGGCACTGCCACCCAAAGCATTGAGCTCCTGCGACCGATTTTGTCGGCCAGCCAGAGGAAGAATACATTGCCAACCAGACCGCCGAGGCAGAGAACCGATGCCACATTGCCCTGATCCTGCTCTGTAAGAGGACCAGTCTCCAAGGGACTCGTGCTGCTGTTTAGCTCCAGAAAGCTGGACGAAGGCCAACCGCAATAAGCGCCAAAGGAAATGGACACAATATTTACTAAAATTCATAAAACAACATGATATATATATGTAAAATGTTTCATATATTTTATTAATCTATACTCTGTGTAGCTCTGTCACATATATAAATAGTTATATAATTATTAGAAATGTTATTTCTAATATTATTATTTCACCACATATTAAATATATATGCATGCATATTTTTTAGTTCATTGATGTTATTGAATGCGCAATAACCGATACGCACTTTTCAATTTACTTTATATTATTTCACATATATTATTTATATGATTAACTAGGATTGATTGGATATAAAAAAAAAATAAATAAAAAAAAAATTTTTTTTTTAATTATAAAATTATTGGCAATATTTTAATTTTCTTTTAATTGAACTCAGCTGTTTTTCCAAGTATTTAAACAATAATCTCTAATTTTCTGAGGGATTTTTATTTGTATTTTTGCACTCCCACAGGAGGACTTAAAAGGTAATTTCACTCTCGGTTACTATCCTCTGACAGATAGACTGACAGAAACAATTTACAAACCAAATATTGCAGCCAGATATTGATGTTTCACACTGCCTTTTGAGTCCATGTTGCTATTTTTTCATTATCCTCTTAGCAGGTGGTTTTTGCAGTTGGGATCTGCTGCCTGGGGTACCGCTCATGGCGCACTAACCGGGCACAGTGGCTGCATGATAACTTTTATATATGGCATTAAAATTCCACACATAACGGGTACAGATTATGAAGCCAAGCAGAGATACAGAGCCGCAAAGCTGCGAAAACAAACTGAACGGATTGTTCTTATCACTCAACTGTTATGCTCTCAGCTCTCAGCTGAAACTACGAGCATCAACAACAACCACAACAACAGCAGACAGTTATTCCAATTGCATTCAGTCCAGACTGTCGATACGCTTTGTTTTCTCAGCTACTGTCATTATAATTTCAAGTACTTCCTGCTCTACTCCTCAGAGTCAGGGAAATGTGACTGACTTCGTCCGAGGTAAAATAGTGAATGGAAGAGATCAATATAACATAACACCAGGATACTCACGTTTGTGTGTAAAAATTATATATTGATTAAATAACAAATAACAGCAAAGAAAACTTGTATTAAAGTTGTTTAATGTTTCATATTCCAAGTAAGTAGTAAATTGAAGGAGACTAGAACTGAAATGAGAGATTCAATATAGAGTCGTATAGAGGCACACAGAGATTAAATCAGCCCGGGAATTAAAACTGCGTTTATAGCAGACATAAGTGCGCTTTATTTTGTATATTTATATTTGCTCTTCTCTTCATATTATATGTTTACAATTTTTCCTGTTGTGATATGTGCCTAGCATTAGCAAATGCGCTGCACAGGGGAGCGCCATTGTCAGAGAGCTGAATCGCCGTGCCGTGCAGTCGAGTGCAGCAGTTGCCGAGCAGTTGCTCTGCTTGAATCACGTTTTAATGGCGCTCTCGTATCAGTAGCCCGAAGATTAGACAGTCTGTGCGTGTGCTACGAATATTCTAAATTTTAATCAGATAGGAGTGAGCGCTAGGTAAACAAGGCGAAACAGTCACATCGCAAATATGGATTAGTGTGCATGTGGGGCGCTTGGCATGTCTTCCTTATTTGCCATGCGCCGCGAAAAGAGAAAGTATTGCTTCTGAGTGATGCTCGAAGCTATTGCTAAGCTAAGCTCTATTGTCAGGGTTTTGGTGTCCAGGTCTCAGGTCGAGTATCTCAAGTACTGACCAATTTCACATCTAGTGTGACCAGAATGTTCTATGCAATAAAGAAATTCGACGCTAGATTAGATAAGCTAAGATCGTGGGATTATGACAATGTGAATTTCATCAGCACTGACGCTACTTATGATCTCTTTTCACGTAGACAAGCCGTGGAGCACGAATGCCTGCCAAAGCATAATGAACTCCACCAGGTGAGAACTGAAGAACAAGCGCCACTCTTAATTAACTTGTGCTTTACTTATATTAGGCCTAATTGTAATTTAATTGCTCAGATGCTCGAGGAAATGTGCCCGTTGGTGGCACTGCCCGCCTTGGCCACGCCCTCCTGGCCCACGTAGCCCAGTTCCCTTTGCACGGCCGAGGGTCGCCGATTGCGCGTCTCCGGCAGCAGCGGCATCGAAATGAGCCCCACGAGGATGGAGGCGGCTGCAAACACCCACAGGTAGAGCACCAGCCCAGGTCCAATTGGCGACTTAACCGCATTGAAGCCCTATTTAAATGGAAAATTCGTTTGTATTTATGCGATTTTCTCAGAATCCTCAGTGCAGCGCTCCACTCACCTCAATCATGCCGAAGAGCAGCAGCCAAGCAACGCCCGAGGCCACTGAATATAGCAAGTCGTGCAGCTGTGAAAATCCAATTCGGAGAACTTATTGTAAATGTGTGATTAAAGACAGCAAAGAGTAGGAAGTAAGAAGCAGCAGAACAGCACTTAAGAACTCAGACAACACAATTAAACATTTACAGTTAGCTAGCATTTGGGAAAATAATTATTTCGCACTTGCAAAGCCATATTAAGCTCAGACAATTTAATCTCACTTCTGTCTAAGAGCACATTCAATTTCTATAGAATATGCGATTAAATTCACTAATTCTTATTATTTGTAAATTAAGCAAACAAAACATAAAATGTATACTAATATCTGAAATATATGTATGTATATGTATACATAAATTAATTGAAGCGGTGGCATGAAAAGTATGCAATGCATTTTGGTTTCTGCAATCAAAAATGTTCAGCCCTCACAATTAAACAGAATTTCATCTCATGGAACAGTGCGAATCGCAAAGAATGAATGGCATCCAATTAAATGCAAAATATGAATACCAATGCGCCCATGCACAGAATCGGAATTTGCGCGTTATGAAATTGGCAACTTTACAGAATTTAATGAAATACGGCTTCGCGCGTTGGCCATGACTGATTATACTATATATTACTCTCTGGTGCTGCATATTTTACCTAGTCTGACTAACTATTGTAGTTAAGTTCCATCATTAAGTCAACGATTAAATATTATATTAAGTAGTTATTGCATCAATCAGGAAAATGAGACCGATTGATTACTTGGAATATGTTCGATTATACTTTTCAGGCTGTGCTATATTATTGCTTACCTTTGTGGGCAGCACTTCGCTGCTGACGACGGCGGCCAGGGGATAGAGCCCAAAGCTGACGAAGAATAGCTGAATGGCGAGCAGGATGATGGGCACAGAGCGCTCACACCAGGGGCCCGGAGACCAGCTCTCCTGGAAGTGCTTGAAAAGGGCCAGCAGGATGACTGGCACAGCAGCCAGCAGCGAGGAGACACAGAGCAGCACCTGGAAGAGGGAGAAAGACCGAAAATTCAATGAGATTGATTCTGAAAAGAGAACGGCATGGGTTTCTTTACCTTGCGAGGCATCTTGGGACCAACGAGGCGTGCAAAAACGGCACCAATACACTGCGATATGGAGAGCAGAACATAGTTCAGCTCCATCGTGTAGCCAGTGCGACCCAGAAAGTCGGCAGCATAGTTCAGCTCCACGAAGACGCCGCTGAGCTTGGCGCAGATGGTCAGCAGAAAGCTGACTCCGATGAGACGGACAACGTAGCTGCGCGGGTAGTGCTCGGAGCCAATGCCCTTGCCCTCACCTTTCATCTCGGCCTTGAACTCGGATAGTTCCTGCAGATAGTTGGGCTTCTCGCGGTCATCTATGTCGCGTATGCCTCGATACCAGCGAAGGGACTTCTCCAGGGCAGGCAGATTGCCCTTGCGCATGAAATAATGCGGACTCTCCTGCACGAAGGGGAAGCACAGGGAGAACACACAGGACATCATGCAGCCCACAACATTTACATAATGGTAGGGCAAATAGAAGCCAAGTACAAAGCCAAAGAGTATGCCCAGCGTGCGCCACAGTTCGATTGTAAATGTTAAGAGGGCGGCCTTCTCTCGGGTCTCGGCAATTTCATTGATGAAAATTGGCAGCACAACAAGCGCGGCGCCAGCTGCCACGCCCCCAAACATGCGTGAGGCATAGATGTGAACGATATCGAAGCCAAAGTGTATGGTAAACCAACTGAACTGGAAAAGGATGATTTTGAATTCGATTAGCTATCGATAGCACGATAACCCTTCATAGGTTCATATGAGACTCGATTGTACTATGAAAACTTCATATGTATGCGATTCAATTGAACTATGAAAAACTTATAAATGATTGGATAACTATGTAGTATCTGTGTATGCGTATCGACTTACAATTTGGAGCAATCCACTGCAGAGCAGCACGGACTTGGGGCCGATACGAATGGCCAGGCAGCCGGACACGGCGGCTCCAACGGCGGCGCTCAGAAAGAGGTAGCCCGTTAATAGGGCAGTGCCCGTGGGGTCTGCGACTTTGTTGAGTGGCGTTCGTTGCTCCGATTCATAGAGATCCATGTGAGCAGGTGTAATGCCAAAGAGGACGCCAAAGTTAAAGCAAAGCAAATTACCTAGGAGGTAATTTTAATTGATATTGGCAAACTATTCATATATATAGATTTACCCACCAACGGCTGTGGCCAAGCTCTGGATGGCGCCTCCGCTGACTCGCTTGGGCAAGCACATGATGAAGTCCTCTCGTATTCAGATTTCAGAATTCCAATTCCCTTAAAGTAGCTATAGATGGAGCTGCATATAAACTGAGAGGGTTTTATTGTCTGGACTGGCCTATTTATGGTGGATTTATCTGTAACGTTTCGTTATCTTGAATGAGATAAGCGACTGCAAGGCAGTCTGCTGCTGTGCGCAACATTTTGCCGTGGACCGTTGTTGGATACCCAGTCTCCGGGGCCAGCTTTTTAGATGTGGCAGATTTGTATATACATTTAAATATATTTGCTCAACGTGAGTCCACAATGATGCCGCGACAAAATGCCTGTGTCTGACTAAATGTTTTGGCTACCGTTGGAGAAATCTGTTTTTAACCTACAGCAGATAACCTTACCCAAGTCAAAATATGTCTACGTTAGGGCTATTCAAGCGCTGAGGCACAACTTAATTAATACTGGACGCAAACTTATTCTTGACTGATGGAACAGCAATTAATCTCAATTAAAATCAATTGTAGAAAAGTGCGGAAATATTTGTACTGTCGATAACATTTATTAGATATGCTACATGCCATTCGTTTTTATTTTATAAGAGCAGAATAATAGTCCAATATGGTTAGGCTGAAACAAAATTAAGATTTCGAACATTTGCGACTATTTAAATAACCGCCTATAAAATGATCGTTCGTTATCGAATATAATAAGTAGAGCAGCGATGCACGGCAGAAGCTGCCTGATACGACACTCGACTGTCATGCACAGTATAGCCGGTCTATCAAACAGCTATCGACCAGCCACCACTCTGTCACTTAGATCAGTCTAAGAGCCGGGCGAATTTTAATTGTGCTTAACCAATTTAAAGGAAAAGCAGCACCATGACAGATGAGCTGTGGTCTAGCGAATATGCCGCTAATGAAACTATTCGGCTAAACAAGAATGTTAGTTCTGGCGATTATCAGAATGCTTGGCGAAAACAAAAGCTGATATTGGCACATGCTACGAGGTAAGTGAAATTTATACAAAATGAGACACTCTTAAGCTGAAAGATAACTCTTCCAATTATAAAGCAACTTAAGTGAAACTATCCGCTATGAAGTGCTCAAGGAACATCAACAGTTATTTTCAAATGCCAGCAGCACGGAAGTCTTTATGAATGACTGTTTGTCTGGATGCCGAGGCCTGCTGACAGCGAGTCGACGTCGAAGAGCCGCTGCTGAACTGCAAGTGGAATGGCGCCAGCCACCTGATCATTTATTTGAGCCTGTGTGCCGTGGAAAATATGAGAGCTGCAAACATGACGAAAATATAGAATTGAAAAAATCCCCGAAAGGGACACCGCCAGAAAAAACAGCAGTGCCATTATCGAGCACAGCAAGCCTTGTCCCTGCACCAGGGGCAGCTGGCAATGGAGGATTTCGTACAGCACGTGAACAGCTGCTATTGCATGAAATGCAGGTAAATACTGAAAGAAGAATAACATTTCAGCTCAGATGAGGCTTACACTGGCAGCAAATATTAGTCGTTTTGCAATATAATTTTATATACTAAAGCCTTCCAAATATATATGAATGTGCATATAGCATCCTCATGATGTGTATATATGCTAGCCAGTGGTTTTTATATTTATTTTTAATATTAATGTGCCTATAAGTAAACAATTATTATTTCAGAAGACCAAAAAATATGAAACTGTTGCCTCGATTCTGATGGACTACAGAAAAAAATCGCTTGGCGGACGTGCATGCAGCTTAAATGCTAACTTTGTGCAACCTGTTGGAAGAAGTGACTCGTAAGACCTAGCCCGAAGCTATTAATAGCTCGTCAAATGCGACTTTCATTTGTTTGTTTAGGAATGTTTTAGCTGTTCCAAAAAAGAAATCCGAGCCTGCAGCACCTGCTGCAGATGTGCTACCTGTTCCGGCCGCGTTGGCGGACTTGGACTCCCATATGGTTCAGCAAATAATGCGTGAGAGTATGCACAAATACAAGCCGGTAACATGGGATGATATAGCTGGGCTGGACTATGCCAAGTCCACGTTCATGGAGACCATCATACACCCATTACAACGCCCAGATTTGTTCAAGGGCATTCGTCGACCCCCACGGGGTGTTTTGCTATTTGGTCCGCCCGGCACGGGAAAAACTTTGATTGCCAAGTGCATTGCCTCGCAGTCGAAAGCAACTTTCTTTAGCATAAATCCCTCCACATTGACTTCCAAGTGGGTGGGCGAAGGCGAGAAGATGGTCAAGACTCTCTTTGCGGTAGCTGCCGCACATCAACCGGCCGTAAGGGGATCTCAATCACTCAAAAGAAGCAACTGATTTTAGGATCTACTGTCTTTCAGATTATATTTATGGATGAAGTCGACTCCTTGCTATCGCAACGCTCGGATAGCGAGCACGAGAGCTCCAGACGTATAAAAAACGAGTTTTTTATACAATTAGATGGGGCGGTAACCAACGAGGATGACCACGTTGTGGTCATTGGGGCCACCAATCGTCCTCAGGAGCTGGATGAGGCTGTGCGGCGTCGCTTTGTGCGTCGCATCTACGTTTCGCTGCCCGTGGCGAAGGCACGTCAGCTGATAATTCAGAAGCTTATACAGCAAATACACCACAACCTCAGTGACGCACAAATAGAAGAACTAGCTAAATTAACCGAAGGTTATTCAGGCGCCGATATGGACAGTCTTTGCCGTTATGCGGCTATGCAGCCACTGAGAGCTTTAACAACTGCTCAGATTGACGTAATCGATGCACAGCAGGTAAGCAAATCTTCTGCATCAAGCAGTTCCTTTCAATACCCCGCACTGAATAGGAATTCGAAATGTAAGGTATACTCATTTCCATATGTAGTTTATTTAGGAATTTCGCTTTTCATTTGTCCCTTTATGGCTCTTCGTCTTTATCAAACACTAAGTGACTGGAGATTCGAAATTTAACACTTCCATTTAGGAAATTATCCACGACTATGAAGACTGTGACTGTTGTACTCACATACCCCAAGATTTGTAATTGATAGGCTAGTATATTGAGTACATCCACTACACTGGAAATCCATTATATAGTTGAACACCCCCGACAAGCATCAGGCTGTCTTGTCATTCATGTAATAACTGGTATATTTTGTTCATATTTTGCGCAGCTGCCCGCTGTTACGATGACAGACTTTACGAACGCCCTGCAGCATATCTCGAAGAGCGTCTCGGCGGATGATGTGAAGCGTTACGTGTCTTGGAATCAAACTTATGGGATTGAGCGTTAAATAATACAACATGGACTAAATAGTTTTGATTAATGCTTTATTTGCACATACTCTACAGTTGGCACTTATACTCTATGTCTTGGAATGCTAAACACATAATTATAATCTATTTACAGAGAGCGTATACATGATCGGCTATGCTAATTACTTCACAGCACATCAAAATTTGACTTCGTATACATCAGAGTTGAATAATATTTARACATCGACTAGGTTCAAATTGGCTTCTTTTTCTTTCTTTTCTTTTGTACGCAAACCCATTGAAAATGGGAAATCTCAAGCTGCCCCAAAATAATGCTTTAAAACAGCATTCGGAATGGGAAAGTTAAAATAACATTAAGATGTAGCTTAAACAACAATTATACTAAAAAGAATTGCATTTCTACTAATTTACTCCCTAATCGGTGGAAAGACGTAATCGTCGCTCAGACTGTTTATGTTCACGTAGGTGGTCTGCGGGCTTAATACGTTGTACAGGGCGTCGAAGGTGGGTCGTTCCTCCGGGTCTTCCAGCCAGCACTGCAGCATTATCGTGTACACCTGGGGCGTACATATCTCGGGGCGCTCCAGCCGATTGCCCGCCAAGAGAAAGGGTATCAACTCGCTGTTGCTGATCGTGGGATACGGTGAGGCGCCCAAGGTGCCGATCTCCCAGAGGACCACGCCATAAGCCCAAACGTCGCTCTTGCTAGAGTATACGTTGTCTCTGATGGCCTCAATCGAGAGCCAGCGCAACGGCAACTGCCGTCAGGCAATGCGAACAATTCAATTAAAAAAAATTAATTGACATTTGGATCTTTCGATTATTGTCCTCGACTCACCCTTCGTGTTTTGGTATTGGTGTAGATGCCATGCCTGGAGAGGCCAAAATCTGAAATTTTCAGTGTCTTGTTGTTGTCGATGAGCACGTTGCGCGCTGCCAGATCGCTATAGAGTAGAAATTCATAATAGTTTAAAGTTGAATATTAGTTGAATAATATAGGAATATAGAAAGCCCAAGTAAACGTATGTATCTAATGCAGAGTCATGTTTATTCAATGATTGAGGGTTGGGAGTGACTGACTAACGTATACCGTGCCCACGGCGCTATGCAATCAATGCATAAGCGCACGCTCCGTTTCGTGCACACCTTACGGACGGACATTATTTGTGAATTCTGCACTCATCGGAAGTGAGAAAAGTTAGTCAAGAACTAAGCTCCCCTTATAAATTTTACAAAGCCGGCGGATCCGGCAGCGCAGAGTAGCTAACAGACTGCGTGCGTGTGCTTGTGCGTGTTTGTGTGCGTGTGGGTGAATGTTGTTTGCTTTGCAAGTTTACAAGGACTTTTACAGCTGCTGAGCGAACTGAAAAGCTCTTTGGTAATGGAGAGATAATAATGAATGAGAGATAGTATTAAAATTGAGACTCATATGCGTCAAGTTGCAGCTTTGACTTGAAAGGTTTTGTTGTTGCTTGTTTCCTGGGAAGTGCTGTCCTGCAGTCAGCTGGGATGGCCGATTTCGATTTTCTGAGAAAGTGATTGGCAAAACAACATAGTTTTGTATAATTTCCCAAAAAAGCTAAACAAAGCAAGAGAAATATTAATAAATCAGGCCAGGAGCCCATCTAACTGAAGAACTTTACGCAAAACACTGCTCAAAGATATTTATATATATATTATATAAAACATGTTCACATTCGTGGAAACTTAAATTTAGATATATACTGTTCTTGCGCATACCGATGTGTTATCTCTTGCTGTTCCAGGAATCGCATGCCATTTGCAATTTGCAGTGCGAAATTGTGCAATTCCTTGTTGTCSAGTATGTACTCGAATGAATCCTCCTCCTCCACAATGGTGTAAGTAGCTGAAAGTGCATATAAAAACATTTATGGAAAATGTGAGCTCTTGCCCAGGCAAGAGGGATAAATACAGAAACAAATTCTTAAGATTTCTAGAGCAATTTAACTGATTCTAGGTGATAACTAATATTAAATGCATTTGCTCACGAATTCCAGCTTGAATTTAGAGATTCTTGGTTGAGCAATAATGCAAATTGTTAGCTTACTTTCCGCAAAGGAGGGCTTTGGCTGTCTGTGTCCGACACCGTTTGACATTGCTGGCTGGGAATTGGAGTAGGGCGAGCCGAAGAAGCTGGAGGAGGACTCCAATTCGCTGCACTGATTGCTGGCCTTGAGTTCGATGTAATTAATACTCGGCAGCTGCGCCGCCGAGGCGCCTGCCGAGTTGCCTTTGGCCTGTCTGCCACTTGAGTGGTTCGCATTGCGTACCCTTGGGTGGCCCAGCTCCTGGCGAGCCATACGCAAGTAGCTCAGCTAAAGCGGACAAAAGAGATCGATTAAAGCCGCAGCAAATGCATTCGGGCTCTGCTCCTGGACTCACCAGATTGCCACGACCCACAAACTCCATGATCATCAGGTAGGGCCGCCGTATGGTGCAGCAGCCCAGGAAGCTAACCACGTTGTGGTGCGTGCCGACGCCCTTAAGCATATTAATTTCAGAGATGAATTCGGCTTCCTCGTCTGCCGACGGATTGGCTGTGTGCAGGTGCAGGGCGGAATTTCAGTTAAATGCAGTTCAATTGTGATTTCAATTCGTGACTTCATACCCTTCAGCTGTTTGACAGCAACCTGCGTCTTGCCCCGCATGCGCCGCAAATTGCTGGCTGTCGCCTCGTGCACGCGCCCAAAGGCGCCTTCGCCCAGGACTCGGCCAATGTGAATGGCCGAGTGCGGCACCTCGAATATGTCGGCGAGCCCCAAAGCCTGCGATTGCTGTGCGAGGATAGAACAAGGATGAAAAGTTTGTGAAATTCCACAACAAAAGTCAAGTATTTACTAAAATCTCTTCAAACTGATCTATTGAAATCTCATTTCGCTCAAGTACAAACAGACCCAAGTTGGGTTGGGGCTTTACGTCTTCATTCATGCATTTACATCTTGTTGCAAAAACTTTCAACAAGTCAAATAAGTTTTATAAGTGCTTAGGCTGCACTCGGCTTATACCCCTCTTGAGATTTACCAAAAATGAGTCGAAATTGATAACAAGTTTTCCACTGTAATTTTAAATGATATTGTCAGCTGTCGGGCGATTGTATGCAGCTGACGCCAGTTGAAGATGAAGATGACATGAATTGCCCTTCGCTTGATTACCTCAATGTATTTGTCCACGTAGTTGATGTTGTCCTCCATTCTGTTATGCAGAGTGAAATGGAATTGTAAATCAGACAGCAGGTAATAAGAAAATAATAAGAAAAGTTAATTGGCCCTTAACTCACGCGACGGGAGACACTGCGAACGATTGCATATATATCTGATTCTTGTGCAGCTGATCCTTGGCCCGAGCTCGGCGACGGAGCAGGAGAAGGGTCAACAGGCCCGCGCACAAGACGACAATAGCCAAGGTGGTCAGTAGAATGAGCGGGTTACTCTGTAAACCGGAATACGTAATGGGTCAGGAGTGAGCAACGATTGCAGTAGTAGTAGTAGTTTCTTTTCGCTCACCAGATGAACATCGCTGTTCAGCTTGAGAGGATTGGCGGGCACTGCGTAAAATAAAATCATAAATAACTCAAGGACTCGTAGGAGCAAAAGAACTCTTTAGGCTCACCCGGAAATTTGCTTGTGCTATATTCACCCTCGCAGCCAGCGGGATCTATCAGCGTCGCCTGCACATTGAGGGGAGTCTTCTCTTTCAGTTGCGTGCCCAGGTTGAGCATCATTCTGCCATCGATGCCCCTCGCAGTGGGACGGAAGTGCAATTCACTTATGTTGTAAATCCGATTGAACAGATTCTTCAGACCACCGCCCCAGGACAGCGATGGATTGCTCTCCTCATTGATTCTGGAAAATGAGTGCAGCGTTTCAAAGAAAAATGGCCCCATAGAGTCCTCTCTGTTGCGATTCACGAGCTGTGATTTCCGCCCTCTGGGGCCATTTTTCTATCTTATATTCATTTTATTTTTAGAGTAAATACCGATTTCCATCATGGGGAATGATTTAATTTGTGATGGGGGCAGGAGCGTTGGCTCGAATAATTCTAAGAATTGTAAAGTCAATCTAATGCATGGTCCATTCGGCTCCTGATTTTGATCTAGGAGGTGAGAAACGTGTCTAATACTAATGTGTGTAGGAGGTAGAAGGAAGGTGGAAGGCGTATCGATTGCTAGTAAGGAAATCGGATCTCGCATCTACATGTTCTACCTGCTTCTGCCTGTTACTCATTATACCCAAAATTTCAGTTATCAACAATAAGAACTCACTTTAGTTGCATTTTGTAGGACTGCAGCGCCTCGTGCAGACGATCCTTCTGCTCCTTGCGCAGCTGCTCGCTGGCCTGTAAGATGAAAGCGATGTTGATAGTGTCGTTGGCCTGCATGTTGGCCGTGGCATGCACTTTTGGTAGCAAGGACGCCGGCGGGCAGTAGCATTTGCCGCCTACACAGTCTGCGAAGGATATCGAGGTGAGTTAGCTCATTTAAAGAGAGGACGAAGCGATTTAACACGTACGTGGTATGTGCACGGGCATGGAGCGACGCACGTATAGATTTGATGTCTCCACAGTCACATTGTACTCGCAGTCAAACATATACTTGCAATCGGGCGACTCGACACTCGGATTGGGACTCTGGGGCAGATAGATGTACTTGCTGGGCTTCTGCTTTATGGAGTATTCGCTGCAAGGCGCCTCCGGGCAGCGAGTGCTGTTCACGGCACTGACCAGCACATTGTATGTGGTGCCTGCAATGCGGAAGGGGAGGTGGGAGGTGGGAGATGGGAGTAAGGCGCCTAAGCAGCAAGCCCATTATTATTCGATGGCCACTCACCATTGGGCAGGTTGTCCTGCCAGTGCACTTGCAGCTGGAGGATTTTCTGCATGTACAGCGTCACATTCACGGACAGCTCCGTGATTTCGTGTTTGCCCGAATTTCGCTGCGTCAAACAAACAAAATGGAAACAATAATCAAAATGGCGAAAGGAAAAATCGAAATCGTTCCATAATTCATCAATATGTCCTCTATTAGTTTGCGAGCGAGTGCTACAATATTATTTACAGACTGTGATGCTGATTCTGGGACTCTGAGATTCGGAATTGAGTTACGATTAAGGAAAATGCAGAAAATAATGACACAAATTCTTTTTTCTCTCTACTTGTAACTCAATTCTGAAGCGTTTGGACTTGCATACAGTCGCAGGTGGTTATCTGACAGACAAAGGAATACAATGTGTGAGGCGCACATATAAATGTTTATATGTATATGCATGAAGAAATGTACATATAGATTTTTGATGGATACTTCTTATTTAGGCCATCGACAACAAGAGACAACCGAAGTGCATCAATAAAAGAAAAGCTAAATCAAATATATATTTGCCATTTAGTATAACTGAGAGTATTTAAAAGTTCGACCAAGCATCCTCACGCTCTTATTCACAGTTTGTGGGCAAGTGAATAACTTGTTTATTTTTCTGGCTACATTTTCAAGTACGATTGCCAATCACAAAAAATGATTACGTCAATGAAAATTCTAAGGACTTGAAAGGTTCCTTCAGCTTGTTATTTCTCCAAAAGTTTCTGAGAATTACTTACGATTAGTTTATTTCTGCTTTTGTCTGGGCCCGATCCAAACTCTGTCCCATTGGAGAATATTTTGTTGCCATTGATGTGGATGTTGTTGTTGTTGTTGTTGTTGCTGGCTGTTGCTGTATTGAGGGAAATTGTTTGCATAGTTGGGGCTTCTGGCCGAATGGCGAATATTCCCAGACTTGGCTTGGCTGTGGACAGAATTTGAATCGGAGGCGTTGGCAAGTGCTCGCTCCCGTTGCGCGAAGCCAACATTTCAGCCACATTGCTGGGTAGCAACAGCAGCGCAATGTGCGTTATGAGCAGATTATAAAATATTACCCGCAGCATTCTTCAAATTTCCACTGCTCATAGTTGGTATGGGGATGGCTCCGAGTGCTGCAACATAATAAGACGAAGCGAATGGCATAATTTGAATAGAGCAGACATATAATACAGATCTATTATTAGCATGGCTCGCATGAAAAGCCATGGCTTAATGAGCAAATGCCAGTAAATAATTAGGAATAAATCAAGATAATTTGATGGGATGTCAAACATCTCAGTGCTGACAATTTGGATTCTTATCGGATTTCGTACTCTTAAAGCTAAGCATTCATATGGTGACTTCGTTTTCAACTATAGCCAACCGCATATGTATATCGCATCACCGCACACACACACTTAAGCACGTTCTCACTCTACTGACTGCGCACTTGACGCAGCTCATTGACTGCGTGTGGGCTGCGCTGGTCGAAATTATAAATAGAAATTCGCTACTGAATAATTGCTGAAACTTCTAAATGCATTTTCTCTCATCAGTTATTTCCTCTACTCCCCCGGTCCTCTTTTGGGGAGTACGCAATGGCCGGTCAGAGTATTTACATTGCGATGAGAATGGGCAACAGCTGCTAAATATTCGTATATCAAAACGTAACACGCTTTTCTATTGATTTTAATCGATAATAGGTAGATAGGTAAAATATACAAGTCTTTTGCAACTCGTGTCCTTCAGGAATATTTATTTAAAATTCATTGCCCCGAATGGTAGCAGGAGAAAATTTGATATGGCGGCTGACGAAATGAAGTGAAAGCGATAGGTTCTATGTAAAATAAACAGCAGAGCAAACAAACAACGAACAACTAATTAGCTACATATCATAAAAGCCACAAACTGAAATTGAGTATACGCCCTGTATCACGGCATTGAACATTTTGCCATTAGGTAAGCACGCAGCTGGCATGCAGTTGAAAGCCACAAAACGCATGTTATTTTATGCATATATATTGTATGTATATCTGTATCTATCGTGGGATTTCGTGGGCCAAATAGGCCATTGAAAACTCTAAACAAGGTTTCAAATGAAGCCGAAAAGGGAACAGATAAATTAAGTATGAATATGAATATAAGGAATCAGTTTTCCAAAAGTTTAATGCGACGATGGAGCAGCAAATAAGACATAAGACAATCTAAGCATTGAATCAATAATTGGTTGATTGCTTTAATTATCGTTTTAGCGATTATTGTATCACTTAATTAATCGATTCTCTTCGGGATTGTTGTCAAGTCTTTACAGAAAAGATTTTGGTAGGGTATTTTCATGCATGCACTGACTTTTCCGCCCATTCGACAATCGCAAGTGCCAGTGCTCAGACAATTAGGCACAAACAATTACGTGAGCTAGCACTTAGATTGTATTGTAGTGAGGCAAACCAAGACACGAGCCAGCAGAAAGCAACGGAAAGTAATGCACTTAACAGGTGCATCTGTGTGTGTGTGTGTGTGTGTATGTGTGTGTTTGTGTGATGGTGTGAGTCTGCTTGGTTTCTCAAAGACAAACTGAACAGAGGAGGACTTAGGTCGCATAATGCATGATTACTTAAGAAGCGGATTATGTATTTGAGCGATGACAGCCAAAGCAACTACACACGAGGATGATGTCATGGCGGCATTCTGGCCCAAAGTCCAATTAAAATATGAGCTTGCTGGAAAGTTCTTTGCTTTGCTTAAAGGCCCTTTATTAGCATATTATTTATGCTGTTCAGCTGATGCATGACAAAACCACAAATGCATGTCCGCCGAAACCACAATGTGCATGTCCTTTGTGAATACCCTTTGTGGACACTCGAGCGACTTGTGACTTGTGTGTGTTACGTGTAAAGCACTACTTAATAAAGCTCCGTTATATTAAAAGTACTGCGGTTATCGGCCTGCGCAACCGTGATGAATCAGCATACGCACTTATGGCACCACTAAACAATAGTATATATACGCACAAACTTACGAATACGCTTTTGCTCTTCGTATTATTTTGGCTTTGATAGTCATAATTCTTCAAGTCACCGTTGCGATAAGAATGCCGAGTATTTCTTTGTATGCCCATTGAATTTGCATTATGCAATTTCATTCGATAAACGTTTTAAGCGTTTTCGCATTTTCACATTTTCCCATTTTCGCTTTTCTGTTGACATTTGAGGTTTCCCGCAACGCCATTCGCCACTAAGTGTTTGTGCTCTATGCGTGTGAGTGTCTATGTGTATGTGTGCGTGTTTGTGTGTGTGTGTGTGCGTTTGTGTAGGCTGTCAACGCTTGGGCACTCGCTAAACACGCCAGCCAGGTCGCCTTAGTCGGGCAGAATTAATGCGCGTATTTATATATAATAATGCTAACAAAGCTAATTGTTGACAAGACATTAACAGCTCCAGGGCTGGGTTAGTGGAGCCAATAGCCAGCAGCCAGCAGCCAGCAGCCTGTAGCCTGTAGCCAGTAGCCAGGTCATAAATTAAGCCATGTCACAGCGTTTTTTATTTTATGGCCCGCTTGCTGTTTGTTTGTTTTGGTTTGACGCCCTCCCCTGGCCTCCCCCCATTCCTCGTAGGACCCAGCCAGCACCACCGACTGGGCCATAAATGAAAACAGTTTTATACAGCGCTAAAAGTGCGATAATTTTCCCCATTGCCAGCGGTAGCAGGGTCTAATTTTTATATAGCAAGAGATAGCATCGTTATTCAATTAATATCCTAATCATTTTCGCAACTAAAGCGTGATTCATTCTATTTTTATGCAGCGAACAGATTGTTATTCATATCACTTTGAAATTACAGTTTGAATGGTTTCCAACAATTACAGATTTACAATTGGTATTTATTGATATAGGAATTAACATATAGTTACTGAAAAGCCAACAACTATTTTGCTATTTCAATGAATTTCTTATCTTATTTTGTAACTTCATAGAAAGTAAATATTAATCGAAATGATGATTTCTTATCTTACTTTGTTTGACGTTTGGTGCTACTAATCGTAAATGGATTTACCCTTGGTCTCCTCCATGAACACGATAACATAGAAGAAGCACAAGACACTGACCGCGGCACAGCCCCACATGGTCGCCGCCAGCCCCCAATACTCCATCATCAGCGGAAAAGCTTTCAGAGAGGTGAACGCGAAGCAACTGAGACAGCCCAGGCAAGCGCTCGTGCCCACTGCGCGTATTTTCGGGGGAAGTACCTCAACTAGAACCACCATTGTGACCGAGATGATTCCCACATTAGCCAAGAATATATTCAAAGCCATTATTGTAACGGGCAGCCAACTGGATATCGCGCTTAGGTCCGCCTCAGTTTCGTCGCCAAAAAAGGCATACAGCCCAAAGGCGCCGGTGCCCAGTGCACTACCGGCACACGAGACAATTAGAAGTATTTTGCGGCCATGCCGATCCACCAGATAGATGGAGGCAAGAGTGCCCACAATCTGCACTGCCCCAATGATAATCGTATTAGTGTTGGGCTCCAGCTGGGTATGCACGCGCTCGAAGATGTTTGACATGTAGTTGATGAAGGCGAAGGTGCCGGTGAATATGTTGCCCACCATCAGCACGAGACCCGTCGCAATGGCTTTTAAAGCGCGCTTGTTGCCTGTCCAGAAATCGGAAAAGGGTAAGCAGATGCCGAAATCTCGACTAGAATCGTATCCATCAAAGCTTACAGAAGTCCGACAAGGTCAAGCTCTCGCTGCCACTCTCCTTGGTCTGCTGCTGCAAGGCATCACGCATTTCCTGAAATTGTTTCTGGTAAGCACGCTCCGACTCCTTGCTAGGCGTGGGACCATCGCAGTTACAATAATATTTTAAAGAGCGCTTCGCTTCCTCCTCTCGACCCCATCGCATTAGCTGCTGCGGGGTTTCCGGGAAGCGTGTGGTCAGCAGGACATAGCAGATGGGCAGAACGACCACAGTACATGGAATCACATGGTAGGGCACATGGGAGGAGATAATGAAGCCCACCATTATTCCTATGTTGATGGCAAGGCTAAAGAATGAACACAGCCTGCCGCGTATGCTGCAAATGCATAAATGCAAATGATACGTTCACTGAGCTCTCAATCGGCCAACAGGCGAATTACTCACCTTTTGTCCGCGATTTCGCCAATGAAGAGGGGCAGCACTATAAACATTCCGCCCCCTGAAAGGCCGGCGCACACTCTGGCAGCGTACAGCCATTCAACGGAGTCCGCGAAATAGAACAGAATCCAAATGCACTGGGTGCGAGAACATTTCACGTAATTTTACTATTGCTCCGATTTACATGATTTCAGCAAGCGGAACTAACCGTGTGGGGCAGGGCAAGGCCGTAGAGCGCCACCTTGCGTCCAAATCGATTCATGACGAATGAAAATAGGAAATTACCCGAAAACCCACCAAAGCTGATCATCGAACCCACCCAGGACGCCTCACTCACATCAATCACAAAGTCCAGAGGTGTCTCCGCAGCTGATTGCAGCTGAGGCAGCATGGGAGACAGCCAGCCCAAGCCGATGCCATGGCAGAACGTAATTATTATAGCTACAAATAATCGAGTGTTTGCTTAGTAATAGCACTTAGTAATAGAACTATGTGTTCTCTGGTCAGTGGTAATAGTGAACTCCAATTCGTTCTCATCCCAATGCCGAATTCTCCCTCTCTCTTGGTCTTTCTCTCATAAATACTCCGTAAACCTCAATAAACCTACCACTCAATGTTACCAGCAGTTGGCGACGAAAATCCTTATTGAATATGCCCGACTTAAATGTTTCGATAAACATTTTGTTATGTTCGTTGTTCAATTTGGTTCTCGGAACTTGTTTTCACAGCCTTTATTACGGAACTTGTTTTATCACGGTCTTTCTTACTGGTCTCGACTATCAGCTAAACTGTTTCGATGAGTACTGTGGTATATGCTTCCCATGCTATTCAGATGAAGTGTTCCCAGCAGTGGAACATTAAGATGATGCCAAATTCTCGCTTTGAGATGTGTGCAATAACTAATGAAATCAGAATCGGCCCACCATTTATATCTCGAGCGGAGATTTTGATATCTTGAGACGTAACCAAATCTAAATCTTTGTATAAACACAAAGTTACACAGAGAGAGAGGTTGACTGAGGGACTAAGGGGTCTTAATTCTACTGAGACAATGACATGCAGTTAGCTTATAGCCCCGGGTGGTCGGTTTCCCAAAACTCCTGCTATTCCGTAATCTTTATAGAGATGTATATCATCTGAGTGTGAAGCTCATGCGTAATCTGTTTGCCATACGTACGTTTGCCATACGCTCACCGGAACTAAGGCCGATCCAATAAATGTGCTCCTTATCAAGGGCCATGACTTTGCTCGCCAACAAGCGTCTTTACCTATTTGCCAGTTACAGTAATGAATGAAATTTCAGCTCAGTCCGCAAAAGTCGACGGATATATGAAACTGGGTACATATACACCGGAAGCTAGCATAGATAACTTTCTCATCCAAAAACAGGGTATGAGTATAGATGGCTGATGTAATTTCCCGACTATTTCTCCATATTACAAGTACGTTTTATTCTAATTCTATAAAATAACGGGTTGACATGATGATTCTATAAAATCTTACAACTGATATAGCATAGCGAGAGCTTATTCTTCCGTTCACTCGTAAATGGACTTGTTCTTTGTTTCCTCGAGGAAGACAGCCGCATAGAAGAGGCAGAGGATGCTAACTGCAGTGCAGGACCACATGCTGGCGGCCAGTCCAAAATATTCCATCATGAGCGGAAAAGTCTTCACCGATGCGAACGCCAAGACGCTAAGACCGCCAAAGCAGAAGCTCGACGCCACGGATCGTATCTTCTGAGGCAGCACTTCGACCAGAACTACCATTGTGACCGAGATGATTCCCACATTGGCGATGAATATGTTCAAGGCCATTATTGTAACAGGCAGCCAGGCGGAGTAGGCGCTCAGATCTGCGTCCGTTTCCTCAGCATAGAAGGCATACACGCCAAAGGCACTGGTGCCCAAGGCGCAGCCCACACACGAGACAATCAGCAGTATTTTACGGCCATGCCGATCCACCAGATAGATGGAGGCAAGAGTGCCCACAATCTGCACTGCCCCAATGATAATCGTATTAGTGTTGGGCTCCAGCTGGGTGTGCACGCGCTCGAAGATGTTTGACATGTAGTTGATGAAGGCGAAGGTGCCCGTGAAAATGTTACCTGTCATTAATATAAGTCCCGTCACAATGGCCTTTATAGCACGCTTGTTGCCTGTCCATAAACAAAACGGTTATAAGAGGCTATAATCCCATCGAGCGAAGCTTACAGAAGTCAGACATGGATAAGCCCTCGTTGCCGCTCTCCTTGGTCTGCTGCTGCAAGGCATCACGCATTTCCTCAAACTGTTTCTGGTAAGCACGCTCCGACTCCTTGCTAGGCGTGGGACCATCGCAGTTACAGTAGTATTTTAAGGCGCGCTTCGCTTCCTCCTCTCGACCCCATCGCAGCAGCTGCTGAGGGCTCTCTGGAAGCCGTGCGGTCAGCAGGAGGTAGCAGAAGGGCAGGGCGATGACTACAAAGGGAATCACATGGTAGGGCACATGGGAGGCTATGATGAAGCCCAGCAAAATGCCCATATTGAGGGCCAGAGTAAAGAAGGAGCACAGTCTGCCGCGAATGCTGCGAACGGTGTGTCAGAAGAAGTCACGATTGCCTGGCAGTGAGTTCACTCACCTCTGATCCGCGATCTCTCCGATGAAAATGGGCAGCACCACATACATGCCTCCGCCTGTTATGCCGGCACAGTATCTGGCCACATAAAGCATTTCAACGGAATTAGCAAAATAGAATAGGAACCAAATGAGCTGAGGGATCAACACTCGACTTTAGCATGTTCAATTCGTAGGATTCAACTCGGGACTTGCTAAACTAACCGTGTTGGGCACAGCCAGGCCATAAATCGCCACCTTGCGTCCGAAGCAACTCATGATGTAGGCGAACAGGAAATTACCCGTCACACCGCCCAGACAAACTATGGAGCCCACCCAGGAGCCCTCGTGCACGTCGACGACGAAGTCCAGCGGCGTCTTTGACTCTGACTGCAGCTTGGGCAGCATGGGGGAGAGCCAGCCCAATCCGATGCCATGGGAGAGTGTAATGACAATGACTGCGAACAAGCAACAGTTAGTTGATTACGTTCTTCGTTTGCACCCACCCCTCTCCCAGTCTGCCCTGGCCATCCATCAGGCCACCACATGCCCGAATGGCGCTCTAAGCATTAACTTGACGTATTGTACCTCCATAAAAAGGTGAGTAGATGCTGCTCCGTATCTCTTTTTATGCTTGTTTTAAAAGCATTAAAAATTAAATTTATTTATGTAGCTTTTTATCTTTATTATCGCTAGCTCACGAAAAAACTTTGAGTTTATATTTATAGGAATTAAAAAATCAAAAAATGCTAATACAAAGAAAGCCTACAAATTTTCCGATATAACAAAAATCGGTAAATAGTTTCAGCAACCAATTATTTCTTGTTTGTTTTTTTATCAATGAAAATTCCATTTTTCAGACCTCTCTTGAATACTTGATATAAAATAATTTATATTTCCTTCTCTTATATATTACAATACATGTCCGGAGCATTTGAGAAAACGTACCACTTAAAGTGACCTGAAGTTGGCGGCGAAATTCCTGCTTAAATATTCCCGAGCTGAGCATTTGAAAAAACATGATGGTGTATGTGCCGATTACTTTATTTTTATAATTTTATGCAAAATAATTAAATAGTTATTATAATCGTTTTCAGTTTTTTGACACAGTTTAGGTTTCCAATAGTTGCTTATTTAATCGTTGCGTAGAAATTAAATTACTCCGATATGGTTTTTCCATGCTAGTCAATGAAATTTTGGATAGCGAGTTAAGATCGCGCCTGCTCTGTTCGAGAAACACTTGAAAAAGACGAGTCGTAGTCCCCCTTATATACAAGCGGCGATAATGCGATATCTCTAGACATATTCCAATCTAAATCTCTGTTCAAATACGAATTCGCAGCTGACATGTGTCCGGCTTGTAGCCCCCGTCTGACGGCCAGGGAGCGGTGGCGCCTCAAGCTCTCGGTAATCTTTATAGACGGATAAATCATCAGCGTGCAATGAAGTTATCTCACTCTGCAACAAACTCATGCCGTTTGCAACCGGCTTGCGAAACATCTGAAATATTTCCCATTTCATTTGTCTGCTTGAACCAATTACAGGTATAAGAGCTCCCAAGCATTATTGGATTAGTGCCAAATTAAATTAACTGGCAGTGAGTAAGTTAGAGTATACCGAAAACCATGAATCTGCCTTTTAATTAATTTCACTGAGCGCAGTCAATTTAGTGAAACAAAAAATATCATTAGAACTGAGTCTCGAATTGAGAAGCTTGTGATGATGTGATGAAGCTTATTTGATGTGTTTCTTCTAAGTCATTTCTCTAAGTGCATTTAAGGATTTCCTCGCCTGGGCGACTGAAGAAATGCTGTAGCTACTCCCCTTTATATAGGGCGACTTCCACTCAAAGCCAAGGTCGCGCTCTAATGTTGCAGCCCAGCTTTGAGCGACCAATGGGAACACTCTCCGCTGCTGCCAGTATTCTAGCTTCGTTTTACTGAAAAATAAATGCCAAACAAATACTGCTACATATGTATATATGATAAGAAAAACAAAATGTATACAATCTCTTGAAAACATTTGCTTTAATAGACTTAGACTTTAGAGAGAGTAAATTCTACTCGAGCGTCTGTGATTCTAAGGCGTTTCTATTATTTACATTCATATGTATGTACTTATGTATACAACAGAAATGTAAGCAGTAGCGTTAACAGTGCCAGGGCTACCGTAACAGTCATACCAGCAGAGTTACTGTTAGGCTAACAGTTAGCACAAGTTCTGGTAGAAGCGCAAAGTGCATCAAAAACAAAATATAAGCGATTTGTTGATAAACATCTTTTATAAAACCTTATACAGAATAACTCCGTGTCAGGCAAGGGATCCGGAATCTAAAGTATTGCTGCTTCGCTCTCCCTTGTTTTGCTAAATGAATTACTTAATTAGATATCCCCATATTAATAGTTCATGGATTTGCCTTTTGTCTCCTCGACAAAGACCACCGCATAGAAGAGGCACAACGTGCTGACCGCTGAACAGCCCCACATGGTGGCCGCCAGGCCCAGGAACTCCATCATTAGGGGGAAACTTTTGAGCGCCACAAACGAAAAGCAGCTAAGGCAGGCCAGGCACGCGCTAGTGGCAACAGCGCGAATCTTCTGTGGAAGGACCTCCACCAGCACCACCATAGCAACAGAGATGATGCCCACATTGGCCAGGAATATGATGAAGGCCATTATCGTGACGGGCAGCCAGGCGGAGTAGGCGCTCAGATCTGCGTCCGTCTCCTCTCCATAGAAGGCGTAAAGGCCAAATGCACCCGTGCCCAGTGCACTGCCCACGCACGAGATAATTAGAAGTATCTTGCGTCCGTAACGATCCACTAGATAGATGGAAGCCAGCGTGCCCACAATCTGAACTGCTCCAATGATAATCGTATTAGTGTTGGGATCCAGCTGCGTGTGCACCCGCTCGAAGATGCTAGACATGTAGTTGATGAAGGAGAATGTGCCGGTGAATATGTAGCATATCATTAAAGTAACTCCAGTGACAATGGCCTTCAGTGCGCGCTTGTTGCCTGTGCGGTAAGCGTAAGGGACTATGAAATGAAAATCATTGATTCAGCCTTAAATTGATGCTTACAGAAGTCAGCCATGCTTAGGCCCACAGTGGAGCTGCTCTTGGCTTGCTGCTGAAGGCTCTCGCGCAGTTCTTCGAACTGCTTATGATAGGCGTAAAGTGAGTCCCGAGTGGGCGACGGCCCATCGCAGTTGCAGTAGAACTTCAAAGAGCGCTTTGCATCCTCCTCTCGACCCCATCGCAGCAGCTGCTGGGGGGTCTCCGGATATCGTGTGGCTAACAAGAGATAGCTAAGAGGGAGGGCCACTACGGCGCATGGAATCACATGGTAGGGCACATGCGAAGATATAATGAAGCCCAGCAATATGCCTAGATTGATGGCCAAGTTGAAGAAGGAGCACAGTCGGCCGCGAATGCTGCGAAATTGGATGTCACTCAAAGTGTCACAGGCCGGCCAAAGATTCATTCAATTCATTTCCAATTCACTCACCTCCTGTCTGCGATTTCGCCAATGAAAATGGGCAGCACCAGGGACATGCCACCGCCCGTTAAGCCAGCGCAAACCCTGGCCACGTAGAGCATTTCAATGGATTCCGCGAAATAGAACAAAAACCAAATACACTGCGGCATTCGCATGTGATTTAACAACATTAGCTTTGTGGCACAGTCCATTGACTAATTAACTAACCGTGTTCGGCAGGGCGAGGCCGTAGAGCGCTACTTTCCGTCCAAACCGATTCATTATGCAGGAGAAGAGAAAATTGCCCGTGAGAGCACCCAAACTGAGCATGGCGCCCAGCCAAGAGGACTCGTGCACATCAATCACAAAGTCAACGGGCGTCTCCACCGACGACTGCAGCTGCGGCAGCATCGGAGACAGCCAGCCCAATCCGATGCCATGACAGAGTGTTATAAGTATTGCTGTGTGGGTAATTGATGGTCAATGCGTTTAGTAAACCTGAAGTTGGTGCTGATTCCCCTGCTAAACCACCAATCAATCGAGCATCGGCTTTCATTGAAATTCTGTGGTAAGTCAAGTTCATATTGAGTGTTGTATCAGCAGGATGCGGAAAAGTAAAATTCGCAATGAAAACCAATTAAAATCGTTCTCTCTCCCCCTCTCTCTCTCTCTCTCTCTCTCTTTCTCTCTCGCTCTCTTTCACCTTCAGTCTGTAGATAATGTTCTAACGCCTTGAAAGCGGATTGGAAATATTTCACTTTATTTCTTGCTGATTGTGCCTATTGAATACCTTCCCAAATGAATTAAATCATGTTACATGCATTATGCACACAATGGCACGTGAATAATACTCTCATTATAGAGTATTTCAGGTCGCAGAGGTATTCATAAGTCATATATAGCACAGTCACTCAACTTTCACTCATGCAATTCCCTTTTCATCTTTCGACAGATAGAACAGCTCTTTAGTCACGATAAACATACCACTCAATGTAACCAGCAGCTGACGACGAAATTCTTTCTTAAATATGCCCGATCTGAACATTTCGGACAGCATTCTGTTAGATTTCTTATTTTATCCGTTGCTAAAATGGATTTTCTCCTGATATGGGCTTCTCATGCTATTCACATGAAGTTCACTTGGGAACGCGCTTGTATCTCTGTCTGAGTTTTACTCTCGAATAACTAGTATAATTCGTATTTTGGCCGCATTTTTATCTGCAGCGTAAAATGCGATATCTCAAGACGTATCTAGTATTAAGTCGTTGCGCAAATAAATTAAAGAATATGTGCTCAAAGCTCTGGCACCTCCGGATCTCTCGTAGTCTTCAGAGATGAATATATCATAATTGTGCTTCTCAACCTGCTCACCGTACAGACGAAGCTCTTATAAAGTTTTGTCTCTTCTCGAGCCATAAAATAAGTTTGCCCGAGCAATTGAAAAAAAAAAAACCTGACCTACAACAAAATGGGAAATGTTATTAAATAGCAAAAACTTGCTCAAACTCTACTACTATTAAAAAAAAAAAAAAAAAAAAAAAAAAAAAAAACTTTTACAATTTGTTAAATTTGTTCTATTCTGAGTTCTAGTTCGTTTTTATATAGTGTCAGTGCAATGCAGTTGGGGTCGGCCATAGATATACCTAGTTGGCTAGAGAATCCAACCATTGAGTCAAGCAAGTTGGAGTATCGTGCATCCGGGACAACGGTTCAATCTCTTCTGATATTGGCATCAATACGTTCGACCCGATCGCTTCATGCCATTCATATTTGAATGCAACTAATCGATATTCCTCTTTCGCAGACTTAAATTTCATGACCTCGCTCAAAACTGTTGATTGCGTATCGCTCATGCCGCATGCGAGGGGGAGGCGTGGGAGGAGACATGCGTAAACGAAAGCGTAAACCCGTCCAAAGGCAAACTTCGATGACGTCTTCTGTCATAATCTGACATTGATGTGGCAACAACTGCAGCTCGTTCGCACCGCCTACCGCCCGATAAGGAGCACAGCCCAAAGCTTCAACTTGCCAAATCAATGATATCGATTTAGGAACTTCTTGTCTAGCATGCCTGCTCTGGTTGGCAGTGCTCGACTAGATGATGCTCTTTCCCCATAGTTCAGCGGATAGTTAAGTGCATATATCTACATGCCATATTTCAGCATACCCTGTGCAGGCGATTTCAATAGGTACTTCTGTTTCTACCACCGAAATGCATCATACAAATTCAATTGAATTTACTTCAAATGTCTTTGGCTTCCACGGTTACATTTTTTATTTGCGCCCGCCCGGGAGTGCCGTTTGTTGATGACTGTGAATCCCAGCAAATCGCTTAGACAAATAAATACAATACTCCCCTATATATACATAAATGTTGTACAATTTTTATTGAGTTCCAGTATTCCTTTGAAATTTTAATCATCCGATAATATTTGATAGAAATTTGGAAGAGTGCTCAAGTTTTTCAAACACCATGATTTGGATTGTTCGCAGTAATAAATATTATCAATGTTAAATATATACACATATACATATATAATAACAGTGATTGTATTGTCTGATCATGGGGGATATTTCTCTTCAGAGTTGCCATCAAAGTACAAACTTATACCCTTCTTTCTGATCTCTTATCTATGACATCTCACTTAATTTACTATCTTTTCTAGTATTT